CGGATCCAAGGGCCTCAGATTTCCAAGAAGGAAGCCGCGGGCTCCATCACTCTTGTGGATGTGACACGGCGACAGTCGCAGAGCATGACTGTCCCTGGGGCCATGTGGAGTGGGGACTGAGAAGGTGGACACAGACTATACCAGTCCCAGGCTATCTTTCATCTTGGTTGTAATTTGCAAGGCTCTGTGGAGGGAAAATGCTGGAAGGTGGAGTGTTCTGTGGCGCGTCCGTGGGGAACAAGCCTCCCTCTGACCCCAGCACTACTCTCTCACAGTCGTGGAGGAAGGAGCCCTTCCTGACCTCAGGACACGGGCCCCTGAGTGGAACCTCCTAGAAGACGGAGTGGGGCAGCCAGGAGGGCAGGCAGGAGCTGGTGAGAGTCGGCCCCGGAGGGAGCCCCTCGGAAGGGAAGAGACTTGGGGGTGTGGCTGCTGCTCTTATCCTAGGGCGGGTGGGGTAGGTGGGCGACCGTCTGCAGAAGAGGCCCCTGCTCACATGACCGCTCTCTCCTAAACTTCTGGAAGAAGACGTGTGGAATTAGGAGGGATGAAGTGAAACGGAAGGTGTGAAGGAGAGGATGAATGCCCTAGGAGGATCATCAGGGATTGGGCTGATCCCAAGGATGGGAAGATTAACTGCTCTGTGTTTGCTGGGCTTCGAGAGCAACCCTGGGATTTCTAGTAAGAAGAACCCTGGGAGAAATCCAAGTGACTGAGATTGAGGCCACTGAGGGGACCCACAGAGATGGGAGCCCAGCAGAGGAACTGGAAGTTCTCAGAAGGGCAAAAGGAGGTTGCAGTGGGCACAGAAGGGGTGCCCAGCCAGAGGGGGCGGGATGTCCAAACCAAATCAAAGAATTGGGGCGGGGGGGCGCTCTAAGCAAATGCACACCAGGACAGCTGAGAAGTGACCATTCTCTGTTGCAATCTAAACCCAAAGCACCTGCCACACCAGGTGTGGCAGGACAGGGGCCACCTGCCACGACTTACCAACATTTGGTATCCAAATGGGAATGAACTCGTGTCTTTGCTTGAAGACAGGCAGCTGAGCATCCCGGGTAGCAAAGGGAGTATGGAACCATGCAGTGAGTGAAAATGAACACCCATCTGCTTCCTCTGGGGGCCCAGGCAGCAGAGAGAGCCATTGCTTTGCTAACTTAGTAGACAGAAGTCCGGAGGTGCACATGGGTCTCTGGGAAGCATTTCTGAGACACCGAGTGCCCAGCCTCTCCCCACTGCAGGAGCATCCAGGGGGGTGGTCCTCATGCCCTCCTGTCCCCGTCCTTCTGTCTGCTCGGCTCTCCCACTCAGACAACAGGGCAGGAATGCTGTTGGCTTTGAAATCAGACCCATCTGGGTCCACTCCTAGCCTGGCCCCTTTCGCACAGCAGACGCTTGCAAAGTACCTGCTGCTCTGAGTCTTAACTTCTCCGTGGGATGGGGGTGATGGTTTCCATGCAACATCTTGCCTCTTGTCTCCGTGGGGCATGACTAGACAGACCTGCAGGACTCCAGGATCCTGGCGGGAGATGTGACAGGCAGCACCCACGGCTCCCTTGGTGGGACTTGTTGGTGAAGGAGACCACCCGACCCCTGGGGGACCAGGAGCCGTTCTCGGAAACAGCGCAAGGGAGTGAGACCCACACCAGCAGGTATGGGAGCAGCCCTGGCTTAGAAACCCAAAGTCCCCCAGTAGGGGCTAGTGTTTCCTGTGACCGTCCCGGGCATTGCTTCCAAGGTCCCTGCCAGGGACAGACCTGGTTCCAAGAGCCGTTGTAGTCAGGGGACCCCAGAGCTCTGGTGGCCCAGCACACGTGTACCTGGACTCCATCACAGCCCTCCGCTCCCAGGAGGGGGCATACACCCCTCACGGCTGCCTCGTAGCACAGCCAAAGTCCCCCACGGGTGTGGCTCCCAGGGCAGCAGAGCTACGAGGTCAGCTGAACCCCTGATCAGTGTCTCGTGTGGAAAGGAGAAGGGTTGGGACTACCCTTTCCCACCACCCTCCTCACAGATCTGCTGGGAGGCTGAGGGGAGAGCCCTGGCAAGTTGCTGGCACGTGGTGAAGCCCCTCACCCTCATTCCTGGCTCCTCTGTGGCCAGCGGTAACCTGTGCGGAGCTGGGCAGGGACGTCCAGAGGTCACCCCTGTGTCCTGTCCCCGCCGTTCTGGCGGTGCTGTGGGCCAGGAGACCAGCAATGCAGGCTGACAAGCCAGCCCCGTTTGTCTAGGATGTGGGACTTCCAGTTTGAAAGTGGGGTAAGTCCCGGTCAAGCCGGGATGAGGGGGTCCACGTACAGCACGAGGACTTGGCTGGTGGCCCCACTTCACTTTGGTTCCCGATGCTCATGGATGTGTTTGCCCTCCGTGGCGCATCCTGAGCTCAACTTCTGTGAAATGCAAAAGGGCGGGGGGCGTGTGTGCTGCATGGATGCTCAGTTCATCTGAAGGGCCCGAGATTTACCGACGGCACCCGGCACGGTTTGAGGTCTTGTGTGTAGGGGGGCTAGCTGCAGGGGCACTGGGCACTGTGTCCCCTGTTCCTTGTCAGGGTTACCTTGGAGAGATGAACACGGTGCTTTAGCGAGAGCTCAGCACCTATCTGAGCAAATTCATTAGCTTTCCTCCCACCGGCTGCTCCTTCCCCCTTTCTTCCCCCTCCTACCATCCTGTGCACGGAAAGTCTCATGGTCCCCTCTGGCTCCAGCTTTTCCCTCACCTTCCATAGCCAGTTTGTGACCTGTGGAATTCTGCCCGATGGTCCCAGTACAAACAATGACATGTTTGTTTTTGCCAGTTTTCTCACATTTAACCAGAACCTGCTAGAGGCCTGCCAATTTGGGGTTGCTCCTCCCTGAGGTTGTCTAAGAGCTCTTGGGGGCTTCTGCAGACTCCAAACTATGCCCCGCCAGACTACGCCCAGCAGTTAAGTAATTTCCCCAGGATTCTATCTGAGAATACAAATGAGATTCAATCCCAGGCCGTGTGGTCCAGGTGCCTGATGACATCCCTCTCAGCCGCCACCCCACCCCGCTGCCTCCATGTCTGTCGCAAGCTCTGTGGGTCACCCCAGCACACCGGCCACTGCTGGAGCAGTGGAATTAAAACAAAACCTTCCCCCAACCCAGAAGACCTCTCCGTGGAGGTAGACAAGAAAGGAAGCATGTTTATTCTTGAATGAGCATCAAACCAGAACGTGATGCGCATCCTAGGTGCTCTGCTCAGAGATTTGCAGAGACAGAAAGGAATCTCACCCCTTTATTAGCCAAGCAGCCACAATCCATTCTGTACATGCCCTCAGGATAATAGTGATCAGTTTTCCAGTAAGAGGACTTGACAGCACCATCTGTTATGCCTAGGTCACCCTAAATTCACCTTGCCGTTGGGGTGACCCTCTGTATTTGTTAATTTGGGTTTTTTGTTGTTGTTGTTAGTCTCAGAGGTAGAATTTAGTGATTCATCAGTTGTATATCATACCCAGTGCCCATCACATCACGTGGCCCCCTTAATGCCCGACACGCGGTTACCCCATCCGCCTCCAGCAACCCTCAGTTTGTTTCCTAGAGTTAACAGTGTCTCTTATGGTTTGCCTTCCTCTCAATTTTCATCTCATTTTATTTTTTTTTATACAAAGGGGAACAAAACTTTTCTCATCTTTATGACAGGTGGCTTTGGGGCATGGAGCCAGGCATCCCCTGAAGTTAGGCCCCTCACCTCCTACAGGACCTGGGAGACAGGGTTGTATTTTCCTTGGATGTTTGCATTCCATAGAGATGGTCCCCAGGCCCTTCAGAGAGACATTCCTGGATCAGAAAGCTGGCAAAAGGCTTACCCTGTCACCTCCTGCATGCCCCAGAGGATGCTGTCCTCAAAGCAACATCTGACCAGGCCCTCCCTGCCTCTAAACACTCCCAGGACCGCCCCCCCCCCCCCCCCCCCCCCCCGCCCAGTGGCCCCAGAGATATGCCAAAGTCTTTGCCCTGGAGCTCAAGGTCTGCACGGACATGGCCCTAAGCCACCGTCTGTCCTTCCTCATTTCCCGTCCGAGCACCCACAGGACCGGCCACTCCCTTCATCTGTCCTGATGCTGCCATGGGTCTGGGACCCGCAGGCTGCCTCCACCTGGCAGAATCCTGTGCCCGCCTCTGTCAGCTGCAGTCCCTCCAACCTCTGGCTCCCTCCTGCAAGACATGTTTGCTCCTGCCGGGTCGTGGTGCATTCATTTCTCACCTGAGTTTTGGATTCAGACCCAGGTTTGAATCCTGATTCTAGCACTTCTCCTATGTGAGGCCTGGACAAGCTCCTCCACCTTCTGGAGCCTCTGTCTCACCATCTACAAAATGGCTATGATAATGCCCACTTCCTAGGATTACCTAGGAAGTGAGTCTCTGTCTCACCATCTACAAAATGGGTATGATAATGCTCACCTCCTAAGATTACCTAGGAAGTGAGCCTCTGTCTCACCATCTACAAAATGGGTTTGATAATGCTCACCTCCTAGGGTTACTGGCACAGCTGGACCAGCTAGGGTGATGTGACCGAGATCTCAGGCGATACTCAGAGTGCAGCACTAGCCCTAGGTCCCTGATTAATGTTTCCGATCCTCAGAGAGGAAGCATAGAGTTTCATTCACTCATATAGGAGGGTGAAACTTGAGCTGCACAGCCGAGAATTTATATTTCTGATGGTCCTGCCTGGAAATTTCATCTTACCTCTCTGTGCACATCATTAAGCATTTAATTCCAAGTGACCTTTCTGCGATGTTTTCTTGCTTTGGGTGGCATGCCAGCTTGTAAACCGAGAGGCGTTCATTCATATTGTATGATGCGTGTGAATGAAACCCAAGGCCCACTCGTGAATAATTCACCTGTTCTTACCCTCCTCAAAGGTTATTCTCCTGCGCAATCTGAAGGCCCTGCGGACATCTCGAGATCTCCAGAGAGTCAGTGTTGAAAATCTACTTAATGTCACGAAGTCCTGACCCGGGAGCTTTGTATGGGATGGAGCCCACGGCTACGGGACGGACTGAGAAAAGCTTCAGCTACGTTGTCAGAGTGCCCAGCAGTGATGGGCTTGACATAATGAACGTTGATGTGAAGATCGACACTTGCTGGGTATTTCAGGACTCAGAGGACAGTGGTGAGGAGCGGGGCCGTCCTGCGGACGAAGCAGCCGGAAGCCCAGAAGTGGATACGGGCGCGCTCAGGAAGCAGCTGGAATCCTCCAAGCGAAAGCTCTTGGCAACTGTGGACAAGTCCGTGATGTCCAAGGCCAGGCTGAGGAGCAGGTAAATACGGTGTTTGCACCTCCTCTTGGTGTATTTAGCGAATCCTGGGCATCCTAATGGGCTTAGATCAGTGTGTTGAATTGCTTTTGAGGCTGAGGATGCGGATGCCCGGGGCAGCCCCACCTCTGGTTCCTCCTCCGTCCTGTCCTGTCCTCTGCTCCGCAGGTCAGGGGCTGAGCCCGCACCGTGTCCCAGGCTCCTGAGCTCCAGCTTCCATGGGGGTCCAGCCAGTGGAAGGCACCGAAGGGAGGAGGAAGAGAGAGACCAGGGTTTCCCCTCTCCTGCTAGGGGTGACATCCCACAGCGACCCAGCCATGCTTTTGGGCTCCTCTCTGGTCCTCCCCACCTGGTGGCTGGCTCCTGGGCCCAATATCACTGCCTCCTCCCTGCATGTCCCTCTGGCCACAGGGGCAGGAAGGGTGCCTGTCAGTGGCTTATCTCTGGGTTGCCGGTCCTCTCTGTCTGGCCTTTTAGCTCTTCTGTTATTACAGCAGACTCTCTCTGCTTATTTCTCACTGCTGACCTTCCTGACTTGGGTACTGTTCTCCTGGTGGAAGCGATGGGGTCCAGAGGTTGGCATGTGAGCCCAGGTCCTCCAGGCCCATGCTCGTTCATGACCATTACCTGATCCTGAGGCCAGCAGAGTGAGGTGGGGTCCTGCATGCATGTCAGGGGAGAAATCCACCATGGAATTGCAGGACGGTAATGCCTGGGATCCATCCAGACAGGCTTACCACGATCCCAGCAGCCAAGTTTCTTGGATTTGTCTGGGACTTCACCATTTTTTGTATTTTCCTTCATTTTAATGAAGGCAAGTCATTAAATGTGTATTTACATGTGCTTTTTATCTTTTTCCTCTTTGTAAGACTTTTTACAGGAAGAAATTCACATATCAGAAAAGTTGTTTTGTTACTTTATGTGATTGTCCATTCATTCATTCATTCATGCCCTGTTCATTCATTCATTCGTTCTCACTCATTCTACCACCTGCACTAGCCCACCCCAGAATCATGTGCTGAGTTATGTCAGTTTGCTCAGGCTGCTTTAACAGAGTACCATAGACTGGGGGACTTAACAGAACTGTACTATCTCACAGTCCTGGAGGCTGGAAGTCCAAGTTCAAGGTGTGGGCAGGTTGGTTCCTTCTGAGGCCTCTCTCCGTGGTGTGTAGACAGCTGCCTTCTCCCTGTGTCCTCACGTGGTCATCCCTCTGTGCGTGTCTGTGTCCTAATCCCCGCTTCTTGTAAGGATCCCCATCAGATTGGATCCGGGCCCACCCAGATGACCTTATTTTAACTCAACTACCTTTGTAAAGGCCCCGTCTCCAAATACGGTCACATTCTGAGGTCCTGGAGGGTAGGATTTCAATATGCGAATTTGAGGGGACACAAATCAGCCCATAACATAAATCCTGGGGGTTGCGACCCAGGGAAGGAAGGGCCTCCCAGCCCTGGAGAGAGCTGCACTGTAACCCCACGTGGTTGTGGATTTAAATCTTTCTCTGGAAAGACTGGCAGTGAAAACCGGAAAGTCATCGAGCCCGGGGACAATGGTGGGAAACCCTTACCAGTGGAGACCCCTCTATGCAAGGAGAGCCCTAGGGGTACCATGAGCAATGGAGGGGAGGGGGCCTCTGGGGCTGGGGCCCGGGGTGAGGCCGCTCTGGAAGGGAGCATCCTGGACCTGCCTGTGGGGAAATGTGGGCTGTGTCCTCTGTTCTCGGAAGGTGGGCCACACTATCCTGCATGAGGGGAGCTGGGGCGGGGAGGATGGACTGCGTTATCCAGGGTCACTAAGAGGGGAAGCCAGGGTTTGAATGCACAATGGGTTAATTTCACCATGGGTGTCATCTCGCCAGGGTATGGTAAAGGTTAGTAGTGTACATTGGGGTTCACTTTGATGAAAGGGTTAAAATTCTAAAGTATTTATTATGGGGCGCCTGGGTGGTGCAGTCGGTTAAGCGCCTGACTCTCGGTTTCAGCTCAGGTTGTGATCCCAGGGTCGTGAGATCGAGCCCCATGTGGAGCTCTATGCTCAGCACAGCATCTGCTTGAGTTTCTTTCTCCCTCTGCTCCTCCCTCCCCTGAAATAAATAAAAATCTTTAAAAAAGTATTTATGATAAAAAGAATAAACAGTGTAGTTAGAAATTTGAGAAAGAAAACCCACTCCCATCTTCACTACCCTAGCAATCATGTGTATTCATCTCCAACCTAAATGCCACAGATTTATCAGTAGCTCTACACTTGAGTGTTTACTCGGTTCCAGGCATGGTTTACATGTTTGTTTACATATTCACGTATTTAATCCTTAAAACAATACCCCAAGTCAGATGATAGCGTTATCCTCAATTTATAGATGGGGAAATGAAGACGCAGGGCAGTTAAGTGACCTCTCCACGGTCACGCACACATCCAGCCACGTCGGGGGGCTCGGACTTGAACCCAGGTGGCCTGCCCAGGGTGGTGATAGCAGCCAGCCATTTTTCCTGCTGCCCTGGTGGGGTCTCCTGGCTTCATAGCACTCTGCAGCACTGCGTCTTAATGTTTGTTTAACTGGTCGTTAATCCATGAAAAATGGTACTTCATCACCTATTTCCTATTTGTGAGCGTATCAGTTCCCGAGGGCTGTGAAAACAAAATACTGCAAACTTGGTGGCTTAAAGCAACATACGTGCATCGTCTTATAGTGCTGGAGGCCAAAGTCCTAAAACTGAAAAGAGAGGCTTTTCTTGTCCCTTTCAGATATCACCACGTTTTATAAGCAAGCAGGGGCTCAGCTTGCTTATAAACCTGGGGTTTATAACCTGGGACCACTCCTCAGTTCAGTTTAGAAGGAACTTGATCACAAAAGACACACTTCCTTCTGTCACTTACACGAGTCTTCCTCAGGGCCTCAGAACTAGAGCAAGAGAGGAGACTCTTGGCCTTATTATTGATCATCATGCAACGTTTCATTCAATCTCCACAATAACGCTCCGAGCTAGGTACAATGACCTCTATTTTACAGATAAGGAGACTATGGGTCAGGGTGGGGAGCAAGCCCAGTGAAGGCCTCATGGCTGGTTGGTGGCAGAGTCAGGAAGCAGAGCTAGGGCCTGACCCAGGGAGGCAGAATGTGTCTTGGGGCAGCGGGCCCCCCTGTGTGGACTCGGGCCGAGGAGTGAAGGTGTGCTCAACATTCCCCCAGGATAAGAAAAGGCTTCATGTGGCTTGGCCGTCCCTAACTATGAGGCTGTTTCCACCTTCTCTCTTCTGTAAGTAATACAAAGATTAGTGATTTTAATTGCGGAAACTTTTTTCTGAATTTCAATCATTTCCTTGGAAGAGATTCGGAAGAGCGTAGCTCAGATGGGAGGCAATGGAGCATAGTGTTAAAAGTATGAGTTCAGGAGTCAGATGGTCTGGGCTCGAGAATGCTGTGTGACCTCGGGCAAGTTGCCTGGCCTCTCTGATCCTCAGTTTTCTGGTGTGTGAAGTAAGGGTAAGGGAACTCACCCGCAAGCTGGTAATGTGAGGCTTGACTGAAACAACACAGATGAAGCTCTTAGGCCACGTGTCTCTGGCTCAGTTCTTTGTTGGTTTCACCTGAACTTGGGATTACCGGCTTAGGGAGAACAGTCTTAAGATTCCTGATGCATGGTGCATTATTATTCCATAGATACCTTTGAAGTATTCTAAATCATCTTACATATGTATGAATGTTTCACAAAATGTGATTTTGTCAGAATTTCAAATTGGCCAAATGAACCAAAAAAAAAAAAGGTTGGCCTCAGTGTCAGTGAAAATGTTAGGCCCTTTTCACGGCCTCCTGAGTAAGCACCTTCCTGCTTCCGTGCCGCAGAACCCAGGAGCTGGAGCTCTCAGGAAGACACCTCCTCCGGACGGTGGCGCCGCTGAGCGCCCACGTGGCACAGGAAAGGAGCGCCGCTGCCCAAGCCCAGGAGAAGCTGCAAGCCTTGCTGGGGGAGCTGGCCAGCCAGGTACCATGTCCCCTCTTCTTTCCAGACCTTGTTTCTTGACCCAGCAGGGTGGCCCCATGTGCTTGGAGGAGGCGGCAGCTGCAGCTGAGCAAAGACAATGGTGGGTAGTGGTGGTGGGGTGCTGGGAGATCCCAGCCAGGGGGCTTAGAGGGGTCTTGATTCCAACTGTGCAGGCAGGGGCTGCGGCACCTGGGGCAAGGGCCTCAACTGCTCCATCTGTACAATGGGATCCGCATCCCGCCCTGCCTGGCTCACCAGGGTTCCGGGTGGGATCCGCTGCGGGGGAAGGGGGTTGGTGAGAGCATTGGGTGACCTGCAGGGGCCGTGCCCTCACTGGGAGCTTTGGCCAGAGGTTCATTTCTGTGGCCCTTGTGCCTGGCCCCAGGGAAGCCAGCTCAGGCCTAGAGACAAGCTGATGACTGATGTAGGGTCCCTGCTCTCAGGAGCCGGCATGCAGGTGGGGGCGTGGATAGGAGACAAGTAACTCCCCAATTGGATGCCAGGGGCCGGGGGGAAGGTGCAGGCACAGTGTGTGTGCATGGAGTCGGGGGGTAGAGGGGATCTACAGAGAACTGAGCCAACTGAGTTGGCCCTCACGGGAAGGGCGTGTGAGGTGTGGACAACAGCCTGTGCACAGGCACGGGAGTGTGGGAGAACATACTGGAGCCAGAGCAGAGGGTGTGGCCGTAGAGAGGGCATTGGCGAGACAGGAGGCTTCCAGAGGGGCCAGGTTGCCAGGACCACGGTGTGGACCAAATATTGACTGCAATGAGGAGCAGGCTTTAGGGGACTTTAGCAGGAGAGGCTCAGGACAGGGTTTTGGGGAAATTATTCTAATTGCCTGGGAAAGAGAGAGAGAGAGAGATGGTGGAGGCACGGCGACAAGTTAGTGCTTTGGACAAGCAGTGAGTCATGCCAAACCTTAACTCTGACGCTGCCTGGCTGTGTGACCTGGGGCAAGTGATTTAGCCTTTCTGGGTCTCAGTTTCCTCCTCTGTGAAATGGGAATGATATAGTACCAACCGACTAGGGTCGTTGTGTGGGCTAATTGAGTTAGTATGTGTAAAACACTCACAACAGTAACAGTAAATAATACCAGCTGCTTTCATAAATATTAGCCTTTATTGCAAGATTCCAGGGGAGATGATGAAGGCTGGAGGTAGGGCACACTTGGGGAATACTGCAGAGGCAGAAATGACAGGCTCCCAGGACGGCTGCATGCGGCTCTCAGAGCCTCCCCCACCCCACCCCCCTGGACAGCCCAACAGCGACCGTCAAACTGCAGGTGGACGCCCGCTTGTGGGTTGTGAGATGAGGTCCGTGTTGCAACCAGCATCTTAAAAACGGAATCAACTAGGAAATAAGAAAGGGCATTAGTATACAAGGAGTGCTGTTTCGTGAAACTTCTCTTTCCATGGCACATGTGTGCGTGTCATAGGACACGGGGGGAAAGTATTTTCTCAGAGCGGGGAGCAGTCAAAAGAGCAGGAAAGGGGTGAACAGAGACAGGATGTGGAGCGTGGAAAGATAAGGAGCTCATTTAAATTGAAATTCGTCTTCGAGACGCCAGGGAGACATGCAAGTGCATTCTCCCCTCTGCATTGAAGTCCGGCTGCAGAAAGTACCGTTAATGTCCTCCCCTGCCCCCCCAGCATGCTCTCATCTGTGTCCTGAGAGGAGGTGTCCCCTGAGAGGTAGTGGCATTGTATGGGATCCCACCACAAAGGATGTAATCTCTCCGTGGAAAATACTTCAATAAAGATGTGTTGGGCCATGCCCTATATCCATGTAGGATTTCCAAGGGGCCTCAGCCACAGCCCCTTGCAGTCACGAGATGTTCCCAGCGTGAATGGGAGACAGAGGACGAGGGTGGGAGCAGGGACAATGCTGTCGGGGGGCTCAGAGGCACCGCGGGACCAGCAGGTCTGTAGGATGCTATGGCCTCTTCGGAACGCATGTCCTTATTAGCGTGTCATGTGATCTCTACACTCCTGGGAAGACCTATCAGGAAACCCCACTTCCAGATGAGGGGCACAAGTTCAGAGGGGTGGGGGTGCCTGTTCAGGGTCCCTCCGAGACCACTTGGCCCAGCTACAGCCCTGAACCTCTAGTAATGTCCACGTTTCAGAGCAAGTTTTATAGGAGTGCATGGATGAGTTTTTTTCTGCCTTGTGTACCTGATATTTGCCGAGTGGCAGTTTTGCCCTCTTGTCCTGTTCCCAGGAAAGCATTTGCGTATGCAAAGTGACCTTGTTTCTGTAGTGACCTGTGGTCGTTCTGAAAGCCGATAAAGACAGACCAATCGGTGATGGAGCTGTTTCGGGATAGCTGGGAGCAGTTTTCCTGCCAGGGAATCGGACTCCAGCTTCATCTGCCCCACATCCCCCAAGAACAAGCTGTCAGACAAAGTCTGCCGAGCCGTCCCCGGGCTTACCTCTTCTACTGTGCTCTGTGCTGTCTTCTGTAAGCTCTCCTGGGCCACAGCAGTGGCCAGCTCTCGGCACGCACTAGGGCCTGAGACAGAGCTTAACATGGAGACAGTGCCACCCTCGTGGAATTGGGCAGGGACTCCCGTTTTCACCCTGGCTGGGTCACCCTGGTCCAGCTTACAGCTCCAGGGCTGGCAGAGGGCTGGGTCCAAGAACAGAGAGATGTGTTGTCCAGACCTTGAGAAAAAGCCTTGAGTCAGATACACGGAGGTTCGAATCCTGGCCGTAGTGACCTGTAGCACAGCGATACTGTGCTAGCCGCTTCTGAGCGTCCCAAGGGGTTAGTGACAGTGCCCAGTGCTTGGGGGTATGCACAATAAGGAACAGCTGCGTGCAGTGTCTCACCAGCCAGAAGCCAGGGCCGGCTGACCTTAGCAGGGTCAGGCATTAACCCATTAGGGTTAGGGAAATGGAGAGATCTGGGAGGTCCTGGGTGGACGTGGGGAAACTCAGATGGGTCCAGGCCACAGTTCTTTACAAACTGGTGTGGAGGTATTCAGTACTGAAACCACTGGTGCGGCTCTCTCCGTGTGCACCAGCTGATGCCCACGTGGCCCAGCACAGTTTCCTTGCAAGGACCCAGGGAGCTCCCGGGTGCAGGGCTCCTAGGAGGGTGAGGTGGGGGAGGCACTCCTCCCCTGCAAAATCTGCGTGGGCGCCAAAAAATTCAGTAATGAAATAAATAATATTTGATGCAATATTTTAATGCAAAAAATAATGCATGAAAAAAAAACCCCATGCACAAAACATGGAAGTTTAAAATAAAGACAGTGTGAGCGACAGTGTGTCGGGGGCTGGCTTCCTGACGCCCTCATCCACCGCCAACTTGTAGGTTCTGGAGAAGGAGCGCGCGGCCCGGCGGCTGCGGGAGCGGCTGCGGCGCAAGGACGAGGCGCTGGGGCGGCAGGCGGCGGCCCTGGAGCGGGGCCGGCGGACCCAGCGGCTCCAGCTGGGCCTGTTGCGCGAGCAGGAGCGCGGCCTGCGGCAGCAAGTGCAGCGGCTGGAGCGGGACGTGCGGCGCCTCTGTCGCGCGGCTGGCCTCCTGTTGGCTGAGCTGGACGCCCCGGCCCCGGGCAGCCCCCGCCCCCGCCCCCTCGGCACGGCCGGCCTCCGGGGCGACCCCGGGGAGGCCGCGGAGCTGCGCGCCCTGCAGACGCGGGCGGAGCGTGGCGAGCGCGAGCGGGACGAGGCGGAGCGCCGGCTTCGGGAGCAGCGCGCCACCGAGCGCCGGCTCCGCGGGCAGCTGGAGGATCTGCGCTGCTGCGTCTATGAGCTCAAGCTGTCGGAGATCGGCCTGCAGGGCCAGGTGGAGGACCTCGCCCAGCAAAACCAGAGCCTGCGCGAGGCGCTGGGGGCCCAGGCCCTGGGGGAGAGAGCGCGCAGTGCCGCCGCTGCTGGTCCCTGCAGCCCGGTAAGTGGCCGCAACCCAGGGCGCCAGTGATTTTTTGATTTTTCTCTAACTTTAGCCTACAGCCACGTGTTAATCACCAGCTCCTCATTCCCCAGTCTTCCTCTTCATCCACTCATCCAACCCCAGCAGCCCCATCCATCCATCCTGGTTCCATCAGTCACCTACCCACCTAAATGCACAGCTAGTCATACACCTTCACCTACCCATCCTTCAGTGCAGTCACCCCACTAGCCATCTGTCCACCTTCTCATCCACCCATCCACCTGTCCACCGCGGACCACCCACTTGTTTGCATATCCATCCATCTGCTTGTCTACCTACCCTCCACCATCTCGTTCACCCTACCACCTGCCCGTCTATCCCTCCATCCAGCCACTCTACAGGGAGCCAACCAGCTACCCTTTACCCCTTATCATCCGCTCCCTCCTGTCCATCCATCTCTCCAGCAGTTAGAGTCCCCGCTGTGTGCCAGGCCCCGTGCCAGATGAGCCCCTTTGGGTGTGCACTATTGTGTAACTGCCATGTGCCCGTGAAGTCTTCCCAGTCCATCCCCTCCGTCGAAGGTGACGGCCCCTCTCCCACCTCCCGCACAGCCCCAAAGGTGGAGATGGTTCCCTGCCGACGGTGCTGTATGTGCATCTTCATTTCTCCTCCGTCAGACTGTGAGCTCCTTGAGGGCAGGGTCTGTGTCTGATGGGTCTTTGTAGCCCACACCATCAACACACAGAAGGTCCCCAAGACTAGCAGTGGAAAACACACAGGGTTGGGTCCCCTTCTGGTTCTCTTACTTACTAGCTGTGTGACTTTGGGCAAGTTTCTTAAGATCTGCAAGCAAGGGCAGATTGGACCTCTGTTTTTTCATTTGACTGACAGAAGAGTAAAAACTAATGTTTAAGATATTCCTGCTCTGTGCTCAGCACCCTCCTGGGAGTTTTCAAAGGCATTATTTCATTTAATGCTCAAGAAGACTATGAGGTGGGCGCTATTGGTATCCCCACCCCGCATGTAAGGAAATCGAGGCTCAGATCTGTTGTCACACAGCTAGTAGGGAACAGAACTGGAACTTGATCCAGATTTGATGGGAGTCCAAAGTGCTCTGTTTCTCCTGCACCAGCCTGCCTTCCTGAAAAGAGAGAGTTAACTCAGCCCCTCCCAAGAGATCAAGATCCTGCTTCTTTCCACCAGGTCAGTTTACATTTAAGGAGCAATCAGTGAGCAACCTTACCCAAAGAAGACTACTAGTTAAACAAACTAACAAAAAAAAGTCAAATTTTTCTATTTCAAATTAACTAGAATTTTAAATGCTCTACGGTGTCTCTCTGCTTAAATCATATTGATAATGAGTTTCCCTGTGGCCATTTAAAAAAATTACTTTATGCTCTTGTTTCTCTTCTGTGTGATCTATTCATTCTTCCTCCGTTCTATCCATCAGATAAAAGGAAACCAGTGTACATTTAATATTGGCACCTTATTGTAATTCTGGAAGATAAACCATGATAGATGGAAATGGTCATTTATTGGGGCTGCTGTAATGAAGGACCATGAGCTGAGTGGTTTGAACAGCAGTTCTGGAACTTGAAGTCCAAAGTCAAGGTGTCGGCAGGGTTGGTTCTCTCTGAGACTTTGTGGGAGGGTCTGTTCCAGCCCCTCTCCTGGGCTGGTGTAAGCCATCTTCTTCCTGTGTCTTCCCAGTGTCTTCCCTGTCTGCACGTCTGTCTCTGTGCCCAGTGTCCCCTTTTCATAAGGACATCGGTCACACGAATGGACCTCATTGTAACTAATTGCATCTGCAAAGACCCCATTTCCAAATCAGGTCACATTCTGAGATTCTGGAGATTAAGGCTTTAACTTGGGAATTCTGGGGGACACCATTCAACCCGTGACAAGTGTCCCTCTGGATGAAAGTTATGAAGACCCGCATGGCGGTAAACTGTGGGTTCCAGTCCCTTGATGGTAGGAACATGTGCTCCTTCACCAGCTTTGTGTGGGTGGATGCTGACGATCCCCAACACTCACTAGAGCATCTTTGTGCCAGACACTGTTTTCTGGGCTCTATATCTGTCACTGATTTAGCCCATCCACAATCTTCGGAGGGAGGCACTATTTTATTCTCATTTCACAGATGAGGAAGTAGGGGCACAGAGAGGCTCATGACCTGCCCAGGGTCACAGAGATACAAAGTGGTGGGGCTCGTGGTGCCCCTCCAGCGCATACTGGTCAGGGGCTTAGTAATTAGCATCTCATGGGTGCTCACTTGGTGCCTACGCTTGGCTTGGGCTTTTTAGCTGGGTACAGGGACTGGAAAGTGCCCAAGACAGACCCCCCGCCTACACAGGATGACCAAACAATCTGAGTGCAGGGCGTGGGGCTGAGGAAGGGGACTGACAGCCTGTGGGTCACTGCTGGGGGCCCTGGCATTTAGAATGGGGGCTGGACCCAGGACCATGGGGTGTGACAGTCTGCCAGGTTCTGTCTTACTCTCAGAGGGCTGTGACAGTCCTGACTTGGAGCATTTTGGAGTCTAAAAGGGCCATCTTGAGAGCAAGAGGACAAGAAAGGGCTGCTGGGGAGATGTAAAGTGCCAGCCAGTTACTAGCTCGCGGGGACGTGTAGCTGAGATTTCAAATTTAAATGCTAGAGCCTATTGATAACAAAATTGCCGGTGCCCTTCCGGGTCTTGGTGTAGAACCGAACACCTGAGAAACTGTAGGCAGAGTTCTGAGAACATTGCACGAGTGTGTGAATATTTGCTCCGCTGTCCATGGCAAATGGAACCTTCCAGCGAGGGGACGCCTCACAATGGCGGTGCTGGAGGAAGGCCTAGAAACCAGGAAACCTGGAGCAGTGTCTAGCCCTGGGGAGGTGTGCATCGGATAGAAAACCATTACAAATCATCAGGGAGCCCCCGTCGCCCCCGCCCACGCAGCGGCCCATTGGATATGTCTGATGACTCCCGCTGGGCGTCGAGGTGTGAGTTATGGTGATGTTATCATCATGGGAAGATGGTTTACTTGCTTCGTATTTACAAGCACTTTTCCAAACAGGATCTCATCAGTGCTGAGGTAGCCAGGCAGGGATCTGCCTCCTTGTACCCACCCCACAGTCCAGGGGAGGCACATGACTTGCCTGGGATCACAACTTGCCAGTTTCCAGAGCAGATCACTCGGGACTCAGGTCCTGAAGGAACGGGCCACGGCAGGGACAACGCCTGGCCTGGGGAGCTGTCCGGGGAGGGGGTTTCTGCTCAGGGTGTGGGTGAAAGGAAATTTAAAAGGACTGTGGTTTGCAAGACAAGAAGGGCCTGCCTGCGGATGCGTCCACTTTCTAGCGAGCGTGCCCTGAGTACCTGCCATGTCGCGGGCAGTGTGCGGGCACCGGGGCTGGAAGGGTGAGCCCGCTCTTTGAAAGCTTATAGGGGAGACGGACAGGTGCGGCAGTGGAGACTTGGTCTGCAGACTGCTGCGGCAGGGCACAGCCCAGGGACCGTGGCCTGGCCTAGAGGGAGGCTTGTGCAGGGAGAGGGCAGGTCACACACTTACAAATGCCAGCGTCAGGCTGTCGTGCCCGAGCTGAGATCCTGCTCCTGGTGACCGTAGCGTCGGGATTACGGACGTGTGTGCGGAGCGACCCCTGGTGGCGGTTACGAGAATCGTTTCCTTGTTGGGCAGGTCCCAGGCGGCCCCTCCTGGCTCACTCTGCGTCTGTTCAGAGGTGACTCTTGCACACTTGATATCGAGGGCTTTCACACAGGTGAGTGATGTCAAAAAAATAACGTAGCAAAGCCACAAAGGTACAAGTAATGTACAAGGAAATAAGAATGGTTAGTGGCCTTATGCAGAGATATCAAATGTGTTCCAAAATAAATATGGGAAAGCTCGAGATTCTGTTCTATTCTGAATATTTGTCAGATGTTAAAGGCACCTCGGCACTGTTTATAGTTGGTGAACATTGGAAACTACCTAAATGTCCCATGAGAAGGAACGGTCTTTGTAAGTGAAGGCGTTCCATACGTCAACAGCTATTAGACGGCTATAAAACACCACTTTACAGAGGAACTTGTGGGGAGATGGTCCTTCGATATCATCACATGAGAAATGCACAAAGCAAAAATGGACATTCTGTAGAAACAGACTTTTGGAAGAATTTAAATGTCTCTGCAAAGAAGAAAGCCCGGAAGGGTATATTCTTTTTTTTTTTTGATTTTTAAAAAATTTATTTATTAGAGAGAGAGGGAGAACATGAGAGGGGGGAAGGTCAGAGGGAGAAGCAGACTCCCTGCCGAGTAGGGAGCCCAATGTGGGACTCGATCCCGGGACTCCAGGATCCTGACCTGAGCCGAAGGCAGTCTCTTAACCAACTGAGCCACCCAGGCGCCCCAAAAGGGTATATTCTAACACATGGATCATGTTTGTGTCTGGATTGCTCTGTATTCCTCATGTTCTTCTTTTTGCTTATCTTTCAAAATAATTGCACATGAAAGCTAAATTGCTGTGAAATTGGGGGTCACTGCTCCCATGAGTAAAGGAGGGCAGGAAGGGTTGACCAGACTGAGCAGAGAGGGGTCGACAGGGTGAGAGAAAGCCCGGATCCAGTTCAAGACCTGCGCTCTGGTTCTGTTCTCCCATCCCGTGTGCTGTGTGATCTCGGACAAGTCACTCTCCCTCTCTGAGCAGTGATTTTGTCACTTGTCACATGAAGGGGGGTAGCATCGTCTTCTATGATGGCCCCTCCTCCCCATCAGGTCACCTCCCCGAGGCAGGGGTTCTGAGTTTTATCCGTGGTGGTATCCCCAGCTCCGGAACAGGGCCTGTCCCTTAGCTGATGCTCAGGAAGTATTTGTGGAACCAAGCTGAAGTCAGCTTGGGCATCGGAAGGAAATCCGAACAGCATAGACTGGTGCGGCAGAGTTGGTCTCTGATGCTGCCCTCCCAGCTCTCCTTGGCCCGCTCCTTTGTCCTCCTTGCTGTCGCTCTCCTGCTGGCTTCCAAGCGGAGTTTCTGTTTCTCCCATTCTCCATCTGGTTCCCTCCTCTTCCTCTCATTCCTTTCTCTTCTGCCCTCTCTCTCCTCCACTTCCCTTCTCTGCCTCTTTCCAGTGGTGCCCATAAGACACTGGCAGAAGTGCTTCATTCTGATCACGCGGGAAGCAGGCGGATCCATGCAAGAGGCGGCATCAGGCACCGCGGGTCAGCGGGCCTGGCGCCCACAGCACGATGCTGGTACCCAGGCCCGTCTGGCTGCAGGGGCTGTGGGCTGAGGCCCTGCTTTGTGACCGTTACAAGCTTCTGGGTGATTCTACGGTGCAGCCAGGGTTGAGATTCCTGGTCTGTGAGGATGCTGGACATGACACAGACAACGGGAAGGTCCCAAACTCAGCGTTAGGAGGAGATGCTTGAGGGAGAGAGTGGACTTAATTTGGGGGAGGACCAGGGAAGGCCTTGTTGAGGATTTGGCCTTTAAGCTGAGCCCAGAGGGGAGCTGGTTAGCTGGGCAGAGGGGCAGAAAGAGAGGCAGACAGCAGGCACTGGGGGTACAGGGCTCTGACATGGGGGGGAGCAGGGTCTCTTTAAGGAGCAGAAGGAGGGTGGGGGCAATGTCCCCGGGCAGGGGTTTTCTCTTTCCGTATAGTGGGAAGCTTCAGAGGTTGGAAACAGGGGAACCACCTGATCCTGTTTCTGTTTCAGTGGGATTGCTCTGATGCTGAGTGGGGTATGGAAGGGAGGGGCAGAGAGTGAGGTGCAGGCAATCCACATCCTTCCTAGGAAGACGTGCCATCCAGGCAGAAGGAACAGCATATGCAGAGGTGCAGAGGCAGGCACGAACCAGGGTGGGGAGGGGCAGGGAGGCTGCCATGAGCAGAAACCCGAGTGAGGAGCATCAGGGGCACCCCTGGCAGCCCATGGATGGCCTACAGTACCCCACTCCAGCATTGAACTCATCCCAGACTGGGGGGGAGCCAAGGGACGCCTTGTAGGTGGGAGAGTGCATGCCAGGAGGGCTCCCTGGCGCTGCGAGCAGGACTGGGGGGCGGGGGAAGAAGGAGGCCTAGCTGGGAGTCGATGCAGGGCTCTGCTGAAAGCAGATGAGGAGCTGGGGGGCAGGTGAGAAGGGGATGGACAGATGTTACTTATTCACTTCTGTTTTCTCCCCTCACCTAGAATAGCACCTGACACACAGTCAGAGCCTAATAAATGCTTCCTGAGTAAGTGCTGAGCACCTGTCTTTCTGCAGGTTCTGCCTTTCCATCTAACTATCAAACATTTATTAAGCACCTAATGTGTGTCGGGCTAAGGTGGGGGTGCAGACCAGGTGAAGCCATGTTGAAGGCCTGAAGGACTCACGGTCTAGTGGGGGAGGCAGCGAGGGAAGCAAATAACACCCATTAGAACCTGGCTAGAAGGGGCAGGGGGGTCTTCCCCAGACTCGTCCCTAGCCCCTGGTGGACGATGGGTCAGAGCTGAGCTGTCCCTAAATAATGCTCTGCAGGGTGGGAGCCGGCTCAGGGAGGCTCCTCCCTGCACACCAGGCTTGCCTTTTGGGAGAGGCCAGGGGGAGGGGGCGCCGCCCGGAGACACCCGACTGCAGCACTGGGGACTTGTTGACGGTTGAGGGACAGGTCCGCCCGGAGCCCCTGGGCAGACCCCTGCCTCTGCTGTATGGGACCCAGAGGAAGGAGAGGGACCTGGGAGCCTGTGGTGCCCCTCTGGGGGGCCCAGACGCATCTTGGCTGGACAGACCAGCTCCCCAGAGAATGGGCTGCCGCGCCTCATTGTCTGCTGAGCAGAGAGGTGCTAGCAGGAGGGAGTTTGGCCCGCAGGACCAGGAGCACAAGGCCACGGTCAGGCCGCGTGCCCTCTGCTTTCCTCAGCAGGGGTGGGGATCTGGCTCCCTCCTGGAGTCGCTGGGGCTGGGCTGGGCTCGGAGGGAACCCTTCCGCTGTGAGGACACTCAACAGCTCTCTTCCTGTGTCTTCCTCAAGGATGCTCTGAGCCGTATTCAGGATGAACCACTGTCCCCGGCCAGGGAGGACGCACGGGATGCCTGCAGAAGACAAGGCCCGCAAGCCCCCTTCTGCTCCGCCCATGCCGCTGGGCCGAGGGGCTCTGCAGGTGTGTGGGGTACCTGCAGGGACACCGGCTGGCAGGCTAGCTCACCTAGGACGATGTGCCGGGGGCTGGGGACGGGGGGACTGTCCGCTCTTCAGACAGGAAGCTGAGGCTCAGAGAGGTAGTGTTGCTTGCTTGATGTCACGCAGCTGGAGAAGGTGGGCTTAGAGCCGGCAACGTCCATGACAAGGCCCTTGACTTGGGCTCAGCTGACCGGTAGGCTCACTCCTGTTAGCACCTCACCGCCCGTGCCAGCGTGGGGCGGCGGGTGTCTCGGAGGAGGGCTCTTTGCAGGAGGCCATGGGATGACTATCCTATCCCCACCCCACCCCTGACAGCTCAGGTGTGCGACAGGTGCGAGGTTTCTGGGAGCTGCTGGGGCTGAGGAGCCCCTTGTCCCTGACTTGTCCCTAATGGGAACCAATGTCTCTGATCACAGTCTTGGGCACGGCTTCCGGATTCCCTGCGACAAAAGCCACTATACTCGGGGAGCCCCAAAGCCACGATGTCCCACTGGGAGTCTGTGGCTTACTTACAGTCTGCCAAGGCCAAATGCGGTTAGAGATGAGGGGGTTATTTATAGCCAGCAGTGCCGCTGACCCACACAGCTGTCATTCCCCCACTATCCTGTTTCTGGGGGACAGAGCTGGCAAGTCACATGGTCAAATTTGTCCTCGGCGAAGAAGGAGGGGCCCGTCTGGTGGTGAAGCCAAGACCAGCTCCTTTCTGCATGCCTGCCGTGCAGGCGGGGCTGGAGGCAGGGGATTTAGGACCCTGTGGGACCCTGAGGGTGCCCGGGTTGAGGGAGGTGTCATGGGATTTGCCACCTGTGTGAGCTTCGTGGTCGGCAAAGGTGGCTTCCAGACCCAGTCCACTGTGTGTCAGAGGACAGTCATTCCCGGTCTCCGAGCCGTGGTCTCCTTACCTGGCAGGTGGTGGTGATCCTTAGGCCGCCTCTGGGGCTTGAGCGCCTTGAGTCAGTGAGAAGTGCCAGGTCATCCCAAGAGCTGGGGGCTCAGTCGCTAGTGGCAGTTGTGACAAGACTCCCAGGAGGGTCTCATTAGCTCCTGGGGTCTTCTCGCCTCCCAGGCCAGCCCTCTGGGGGCCGCTGCTCCTGGGGATGCGTCGGGACTGGACAAGGACCCTCTGTTTTGGTGCCAGGTCTGGAGACCACGGATGAGTCCCCGGAAGACGTCACAGGATCTGACTGTGGACCGGTGAGGCTGGAGGCTTCCCGTGTGCCCCGGGGTGCCAGCCGGGTCTGGCCAGCCCTACTGCATGTGGGAGGTGGGAGAAGGGGCTAAAGAAGGGTTTGGAAGATAATTGAGAGGGAGGTTTGAGGAGACAGAATGGATTACTTGTATTGAAGAAGTGTATGTAAAAGTATAGTTTAAAATATCTATGAAATGCATCTTGGGGGCCTGGCACTGGTCTAGGCCCAGGGCCCTGGCCCTCGGAGCGGATCGTCTACACCGCCTGTCCACTGAAGCCTTCCATGACAATGGAAATGTGCTACGCCTGTGCTGTCCAGAAGGGGAGCCATGAACCCCAAGCTTCTGAGCTCTTGAAACATGGCTGGTGGCCTGAGGCTATGTGTTGGACCACAGGGATAAAGGGGGGAGACAGTGCACACACAGATACACAGCAGGCTGTGAGAGGGTGGGAGCGTAGTAAAGGGGAACACACAGCGTGGTGAAATGACCAGGGGGCTACTGGAGGAAGTAACGTCTGAGCGGAGATTTGAATGGATGGAGGGTGAACCACGAGGGGATCCGGGGAAGGATTCTGGGCAGAGGGGAGAGCAGGTGCAAAGGCCCTGGGGTGGTGTTGGGCTCGACATGTTAGGGAGGCCTATAAGGCCAGGTGAGGAAACACCAAGAGCATCAGGAGATGAGGTCACAGAGGTGTGGGGGGCTAAACGGAGGAAGGGGCTGCTTCATACCTTCTCTTCTCTTCCCGTCCCTAGCCGACTCCTGCTGAGCCTAGCTTGGATGAACAGGCTCTCCTTCTCCTCTGTGGCTGCCCCCCGGGGCAGTACAGAGATGGCTCACCCCTCCCCGTGGAGCTGGCCTGGATTTTGGGGCAGAGGCTAGCAGCTGCCCAGGCCCAGGGGTCCTTTCTCCTGGTGCAGACGTCCACACTCCCTCCCTGGGGGCCAGCCAGAGACCCCTCTTCCCTGCTGCCGCTGCTCCAGGAGGCTTCTCCGCAAGAATCCCAAATGCAACAGGTGCTGGATGCCCGAGCCATAGGACAGCCGCGTCGGGATCATCACTGGGCAAGGAGCCCCAAAGCCTCCCTCTGCCAGGAGTCCCCAGAGACTTCAAGTCGGCAATTTCCCAGGAGAGGGCCCAGAGATCTGAAAGACCCTTGGAAAGACGGAGGAGGACCAGAGTGGAGAATGGAAGAGCAGGGGGCGAGGCAGGCCTGGGGCAGGAAGGAGGAAGACGTCCACCGAGACGGGAGCAAGCTAAGTCAGGAAAGCCGAGTGAACCTGAACTTGCGGGGTGGCGTGCGCATCGAGAACGGGGCTTTAGAAACCCAGGCCTCTGCCTCCTGCCCTTGGCCCAGGCCAAATCTCCCACTGCCTCTTCTACAGGAGGTCTCAGTGTCAACGGAGGGGCCCAAACCCCTGAGTAGGAGGGGGAGTGTGGGAGGGCTTTCATCAGAGGAGGAGGAAGAGCACCCCACAGCCAGGGCCCGGGGTGCCCAGAGGCTGTCTCCAGCCGGCGCTCAGCTCCTTGCAGGGCAGGGCACGGAGGAAACTCTTGTGTGGGCTGGAAAGGCTCTGCATCTGCAAGAGGAAAGCCCTGGGGACGAAGGGCAAGAGAAGGAGGAAGAGGCATCGCCTCTAGAAGGGTCCAGTCTGGGCCATGGGGATGTCCCGGAGGAGCCTGGCCCCGTGGAACATGCTGGCCAGGATATGTTCTTCTTAGTGGCAGAGGGAGGTCTGACACCGGCTCCCGGATTGGCCTTTTCACCCAAGGGGACTGAATCCACCAGTAACCCATGGGCTCTGAGCAAAGAACCTGGCAGTTCTGAGCTCAGACTAGACGAATTTGAAAAGGAGATGGAAGCTTGTTTCCAGCAACTCTCCATCCTGGAGCTTGAGGGTGGGGGGCGGTGGCCGCAAGCTTCCACACTAGCGGGAGAGAGCAGGAACTTGCCTTGGAAATGGCCCCGCTGCCAGGGGAAGGCTTACTCCCGGCAGGCTTTGGGAAACCAGGGCTTGGATATTTGTTTGGCCAGGGAAGTCAAACCCAGGGAGGTTAGTGAAGAGATTAGACCAGGAGAGACGGAGGCCTTGGGAGCCAGCGCGGTTCTTCCTGGGACGGTGCCTGATTTGGATGACGTGAGTCCGCGTCCAGAGGGGCCTGCTGAGCTGGGTCGGAAATGGCCACCGAGAGCCCTTGAAAGGCAGAAGAGAAGGTTCCAGCAGCTCATTTCTGGACTGAAAAAAGAGAGAGGCCAGGTTTTACATGACAACGCCAAGCTTCGGGGCGACCGAGAGAGATGCCGTAGAAAACTGCGCATCCTCGAAAAAGAGAGGGACAGAAATGGGACAAAGATCGCCATGCTTGAACAGGAAAACAGCACACTGTTAGGGGACATCTCTCACTTAAAGGGGGAGCTGGACCAATGCTGGCAGGTCATTTCCGACCTTGAAGACTGCAATGGGAAAAGTTATGGCAAAATTTCTGAGCTCGAACAGGAGAATGAGAAGCTGAAAAGTCACATGGCCCAGCTTCATAAAGCCACATGGGAGAGCCTCAGAAAATCCAAAGGTGTGATGGAGCGCGTCACCCTGGGAAACCAGGAGCTCAAGGCACTGATCTCGGAGCTCAGGGTCGGTTACAAGGAGCTGATGAAGGGCGTAGTGCTGGGAATAGAAGACACGGTCCGGGCCTTCAGGGGGGAGAATGCCCACCTTCTGCACAGGATCCGCGTCCTGGAGATGGAAGTTGCGGTGGGGGCGAGCACCGCGGTGGGCCACGTGGTGAGAGCAGAGGAGGGTCTGCAGGGGGAAAGCAAGATGCAGGGGGACAAGGGGAACGTTGTGGAAAGGGGGGTGCAGGTGACTCGGCTCTCAGGGCAACTGACCCCAAGAGCCCACGGGCTGCCCTTGGAGGAGAAATCGGGTCCAGCTGACAGGTGGATGGGGCCTTCCTTAGTCATGGAGAATTCCAGATACGATGTCAATTCTGGCGCTCCGTCCTTGGTCCGGGGAGGTGCCAAAGTGTCCAGTGCCCCTCAAGGACACATCAATGGAGCAGGAGTAAAAGAAGCACATTTGGAAGAGGAGGAGGAAAGACCAGGGTGTTCTGTGGGCCCAGGGCAAGCTCCGACCACCCCAAGCAATGGTCCCCAGGTAGGTTGATAACACACAGCTGCTGCCTCGGCCTCTTGCTAGCTGTCTAGACTGCTGACCACCCCCTTTCCTCAGGGGAGGCTCCCCAGGCAGCCCTCGGGGGAGGTACTGCATCATCCCCACTTAGCAGAGAAGGAGGGCACAGGGATGTTGAGTACCGGGCAGTCATGCGGCAGGAGGGGCGGGGCTGGGACTGCCACCTGGGCACTCGCCACCTGTGTTCCTGCACACAACCTGGGACACTAGCCCTCCCCCCTCCTTGGGCTGTTCCGCTGGGTATCGGGTGGGACAGCGGAGGGGCGGTGTTGGCACTTCAAGATCAGAGCTCATGTTTTCAGATCCAAGAGTTTATCAAGCAGTCCAAGTCCTAAGTCTGCCCATTGGGTCTCTCTCTCTCTCTTTTTAAGATGTAATTGACATATAACATTGTATAAGCTTAAGGTGCACGATGTGTTGACCTGATACATTTATGCATTTCAATATGATTATCACCATAGGTTGGCTAACACCTCAGTCATTCTCCGTGTTGGGTCTTAAAAAGGACGATGGAAAGAGCAGGGACTTAGGACTTAATCGGGGGTCAAACCTAGCTCTGCACTTAACCACATCTGTGATTTGGCCAAGACATGGGCTTCCCTGAGTCATTGTCCACACGTATGGAGGGTTCTCGCTGTTCAGGAATCCCAGGATGAAATGCTCATGATATTCTCACTGTGGTCTTTGATGTCTTTAAGATGTTCAGTGTCGAGCCCTTTGTACCCCCTCATTCATTCTCTCCCAGTCTCTCTCTCTCCCCCTTTCCCTCCCTCCCCCCCCCCCCGCCCCTTGGCAATTTTATCAGTCATTTCAGAAGATCCCTTTGGGTTTTGTCAGTTTTCTTCATTGTATGTATTTTATTTCCCTGGATTCCATTTATACCTTCATTCTTCCCTTTCTTTCACTTTCTTTTGATTTAGTTAGCTGTTTTTTTTTTTTTTTTTTTTTGCTTCCTGTGTTGAAAGCTTAGATCATTGATTTTCAGCTGTTCTTTTGTGATCTATGCACTTACATCTCTGCATGTCTCTCTGAGCACTGTTTCAGCTACATCCCGCACATTTTGATATGTTGTGCTTTTATGTCCGTTCACTTCAAAGTACTTTCTAGTTTTCATCTGTGACGTCTCTCTTCACCCATGGGTGATTTAGAAGTGTGTTGCTGAATTTCCAAGCACCTGCTGAATTTTTTTCGTTATATTTTTGTTCCTGATTTGTAGTTTTATTTCACTGTTGTCAGAAAACATAACTATATTATAATTTTTTAAAGATTTTGTTTATTTATTTGACAGAGACATAGCGAGAGCAGGAACACAAGCAGGGGGAGCGGGAGAGGGAGAAGCAGGCTTCCCGCCGAGCAGGGAGCCCGATGTGGGACTCGATCCCAGGACCCTGGGATCATGACCTGAGCCGAAGGCAGATGCTTAACGACTGAGCCACCCAGGGGCCCATAACTATATTATTTTAATTATTTTTGAATTTGAGATTTATTCTATTGACCAGGTTATGGTCTATTTGGGTAAATATCCTGGGTGTCCTTGTAGAGAATGAATAGTTTGCCGTTGTTGAGTATTGTGATGGGGCCAAGCTGGTTAATTGTGCTGATCAGATCTACTGACGGGCCAGCTGTTTGCTTTGTTATTTACCCAGATATGTTTGCAATCTCTGAATGTGCATTTGTGTATTTCTTCTTCTGGTTATGTTAGTTTTGATTCATATATCTGGATATTATTTATGAGATACATGCAGACTTACAATTATGTTTTCCTGCTGACTTGACTCTTTGATCATGATGAAATGCCCCTCATTACCTCCCACGCTTCTTGCCCAAATTGCACTTCGTCTGATATGGAAGTAGTCACATCAGTTTCTTTCCCTTAGTGTTTTCATGGAATCCAACTTCTTTTAGACCATCCACCCTTTTGCATTCAACCTGTGGGAATCTTTATATTTAAAGTGTGTTTCTTGGGGTGCCTGGGTGGCTCAGTTGGTTAAGCGACTGCCTTCGGCTCAGGTCATGATCCTGGAGTCCCGGGATCGAGTCCCGCATCGGGCTCCCTGCTCAGCAGGGAGTCTACTTCTCCCTCTGACCCTCCCCCATCTCATGTGCTCTCTCTCTCTCTCTCTCATTCTCTCTCTCAAATAAATAAATAAATAAATAAAATCTTTAAAAAAAATAAAGTGTGTTTCTTTGAAATAGCATGTGGCTGGTTTGTTTTTGTTTGGCTCAGTTTTGCAATCTCTGCTTTTCACTTGGGGTGTTTGGTCCACATATATTTCATACATGTGATGCTAGAATTGGGTGTTTGTCTCCCTTCTTACCATGTATTTTCTTTGTTCTGTTCTGTTCTATTTCTCCTTTCTTACCTTTGTTTTTGGTATGCGTAAGTATTTTCTCTTATTCCTTTGTCTTCTCCATTAGCTCATTCTGCTATACATTTTAGTATCATTCCTTCAGTGCTTACCCTAGAGATTTCAGAATGTATCTATTCATTATTTAAATGTACCCTAAATTAGTACTTTTAACATATAATACAGAAATCCCAAATAAATTAATAATTGTTAATAAATAATGCAAAATTTTTAATAGTTTATCTCCATTTACTCTTTCTCTTTTCCTCATTTTTGTCATATGTATTATGCCCATGGATGATAAACTTCATAAGGCATTGTTACTATTGTTATTCCAGGCAAGCGATAATCTTCTACATTTACTGGATCTCCCACACGGTCCTGTGCTGTCCATTCTTGCTTTCACTCCTGGGGATCTGTTTTCCTTCTGCCTAAAGAGTTTGTCATTTCTCAGAGTGAGGATCTGCCGGTGATGAATTCTCTCCTAGCTCTTTTTATGAAAACAAACTTCAACTTCCACTTTTAAGAGATATTATCCCCCCTGCTGGATTCAGAATTTTAGGTAGGCAGAGATTTCCCCCTCTTTAGCACTTTGAAGATTTCATTGCATTGCCTTCTGGCTCCCACAGTTTCTGTTGAAAAAAAAATTGGTTGTTTTTGTCATGGTTTTTTTGTTTGGTTTTGTTTTCCTGAAGTAAGTGTGTTATTTTCTCTCTGGCTGCTTTTAAGATTTCCTTCTTATCTTTGGGTTTTGGCAATTTGACTGTGATGGGTCTGGTGTGGTTTTATTTGTATTTATCCTGTTTGGATTTTTATGAGCTTCTTAAAATCGTAGATTCAAGTCTTTTATCATACTTGGAGAATTTTTGGTTATTATTTAATCAGATGTTTATTCTGTCCTATTTTCCTCTTGTTTCCTAGAATCCAGACTTTTTGATTATATCCCACATCTTTTGAAACTGTTCTATTTTTCCCCCCTTTTTAAGCTTTGTGCATTAGTTTGAATTTTCTATTGACTCGTTATTTAGTTCACTAATTCTGTATTCTGTTGTATTTTATCTTCTGATAATTTCATCCAAGGAGTTCTTAATTTCATTTGTTATATTTTGCAACTCTAGGATATACATTTTATCCTTTTTAAGAGATCCTCATTCTCTATTGAAATATTCCCATCTTTTCATTCATCTGTTTTTCCTATATTTTAAAAAATATATAATCATAGTTATTTTTGAAGGTCTTGTCTGCTAATGCCAGTATCTGGATTATCTCTGCGTCTGTTTTTATCGACTATTTTATTTCTTGGTTAAGTCCCATTTTCCAGCTTCTTCACGTGTCTAGTGATTTTTAACAAAATTTTATGTTGGACATCATGTAGGATATCTGGTAGAGATTCCTGGGTGTTATCTCCTGCTAGAGAATGTTGAGTGCCTTCTGCTCTGGCAGGTGGAAGGATCAGCAGACCAGATCATTCCTGGGCAGGTGTATGTTAATTTCAACCCAGTCCTAGGGCCTGATTTTCCTCCTGGGGCATGACCTTTCAGGGGCAGCTGCTGAGTCCCCTGAGTATTCACTGAGGACACCAATTTGGGCTCAGCCAGAACTCTGCCATCTTGGCAGCAGTGTGAGACCTCTGAAGTCTCCTCAGCAATTGGCCTGCCAGCTTCTCTTCTCTGCTAGGCCTCCAAACCCCGCACTGTGCTACCCAGCATAGGATTCAGCCATGGATCCAGCAGGCATTTCTAGGGAGGTACCTGGCTCTCTCCTTTCTGTTACTTTGCTCCAAAGACCCAGCTATCAGAGCATCTCTGAACTCCAGCCTCTGAGTCCCCCATCAAGCAGGACCACCCCTCTCAGCTTAGGCTCCCACTCCTGAACCATCATTTGGAAAATGCTGCATAGAGAAATCCAGAGAGAATGTGGAGCTCGCCTTGATGTGCATCCTTTCCCTCAAGGATTGTAGCCCTGCATTGGCTGCCACTCGATGCTTGCAAAGAATTGTTTTATGCATTTCCCCAGATTTTGTAGTTGTCCAATCTCAGCTGGTCAGACCTTGTAGAAACTGGACTCTGAGGAGAGGAATATTGAGCTGAGCGTTTCAAGGTGGGAAAAGGGGCGGCAGATGAAGAGCTTTTCAGGCAGAGGGAGAAGCAAGTGGCCAGGTCCTGAGGCAGGAATAAACCTGGCTCATAGGGAAAAAACAGAAAGTAGCCAGCGTGGCGGGATCACGTGGCAAGGGTGGGGTGTGGTGTGAGATGGAGCAGAGCTCAGATGGCCTGCAGGCCACAGTTATGATCCTTTCTAAATACAGTGGGAAGCCGCTGGGGGCTTTTAAGCAGGAGAACAACGTGGTTCAATTTCTTTTGTAAAAAGATCATTGTCTACTGGGAGGAAGAGGGCCAGGGGGACGCGGGAACACAGTGAAGACAACTTTGTAGTCAAGAAATGATGCCAGGATAGAGGGATTTGGAACTACAAGAAGGGAGGATTCCAGACAAAAACCAGAGTTGAAGGAAATGAGGTTTGTTGATGCACAGGGGACAGAGGACAAGAAAGCTTCCCCATTTCATCCTCCCAAGTCACAGACTTGATCATGTTGCTATTTTGCTTAAAATGCTTCTGTCCCTTCCTCTTATACTTGGTGTGAAATCCCAGTTCCTTCTGGTGGATTCTAATCCAGGCCTGGGGAGCCTTAGCTGTCGCTGTTTACCTCCCACCCTCCGCCCTCCGGCATCCTTGCTTGGCCTCTCCTCTACCCCAGCCTTCTCCTGGGAACTGCCGCACATCCTCGGGGTCTCCTTTTGGGGGGACAGCACCTTCCAGGGCCACAGGATGGGCTCATGCAGAGGTGTGACGCCATTTTCATAGCTTGTCATTGGTCCTAGTGGGAGCATCTGTGCCATGGGAATCAGCAGATGCTACGGATTCGCGAGCCCCTCGACCAGCCCAGAGAAGAGTAGTTGCCTCCTGGCTTAGTGCCTCCTGACTTCCCCTTGCCGTGCTGTGTCAGATGGCCTGTTTCTGTGTCAGTCTCCCCCACCAGAGTTCCCCGAGGACCGTGGGCACCATGGCTCTCAGCCCACGGAGAGCATATGGCTGGAGCCAGTGCCGATCATGCCCCTTTGGGAGCAAGTGGGTCATGGGGCCCATCACAAGGCTGCTGGGTGGTGCCGTCCCATGTGGCAGGCAGGGCTGGCCCCCACCCCACACCCCACATGCCCATTCTCTTTAGAACATACTGGGGGATCCAGTAGAACATACTCTTAGGATCCTTGGGGTAAACCCCTTGTCCAAGTCACTGGGGAGCGGACATAGCGAAGGCACCAAACTTCCCAGAAAGGCCAAGTTGTTTTGCAAGTCTTAGAGCTGGATTTCATGAAACCATCCGGAGCACCCATCTGTTCTTGACAGGGCCCAGCCTGTGCATCTCAGGCCCACGCTCTGTGAATTTCTATTAATTAGGAGAAAACCACATTCTGCTCTTGGATTTCTTTACTAACCGAGGGGGAGTCCTCATCAGCCACGAGGCACGTTGATTCTGTCCTCGCACTGGCCTCTCTCTCCTCTCCCAGCAGAATGGCTCAGCCTCTGCCCCCCTGCTCACAACCAGGCCAAGAGCACAAGGCAGAGATGACCTTGGCAGGCCTCACCTTCCCAGGGTGGCAGGTGCTTTAAATGAAGGGTGGACTGCCACAGCCAAAGGAAGGGAGTGTGAAAAGCCTCTGAGCTTCTGGGTTCCTGTGCACAGAGCCTGATGATTAGCAGTGCTGCACCTTCCTAGGCCACTGTAGCATGTGAATTGTTTAATGATACTCAGACCCTAGGCCCAGAAAATCCCCCTCTGATGATCTCAGGGAAGGACTCAGAGGTCCGTCCAGTAGTTATGTGGAAGGCTGTTTTTGACAACCCAACCACAGCAGGAAAGTTTTAGAATGCCCCGAGCATTCAGCATGCCACAGAATGTATGCTCACAGTGGTGTTTTCAACATCCTTTTATAATATGGAAAAATGCTCCTGACATGGTATTGAGGGAGAAAAGCAGGATACCAAAGATGTAAATGGTCTGTTAAATGTTATGTAGAGAAAATGTATGGGTGTGTCTGTGTGTATATATGCATCTATGTGTGGATGGAAGTTATTAAAAAATAAAACCTGAGAATCCAGAACCACTGGGGGAAGCAGCATTACCACTATCCAGCCCCCCCCCCCCCCGAGTGCTAAATCACCTCTCCTTCCCACCTTTCTGCCTCCCAGAAACTCCCCAGGACATCCATATGAAACCCGCTCATGTCTGACCCAAAAAGAGTGAGAGACCATTTTGTACTGATTTAAGAAAAGCGTTTGGGGCGGGGGGGAATGCAGTATCCTCTGTTTTATATAAACGGAGGATGCTTTAATGTAATAAGCATCTCCTAATTGGATTTGAACCTTAAATTCCATTCATTATACTTTTTTTTTTTTTTTTTTTTTAGCAGCGTGGTGACTGAAATCGATTGAAACAGATTCTGGAATGCCATGCCATTTTGCATATTTTTGAAAAGATGTGCAAAAGATATATATATCTGAATATATATATATACACAGACACACACATATATAGCTGAAAATCACATTCTAGAATGTTCTTCTATGATTCCCCAGACCCTCTCCAACACCCACCCCTCCACTCAAAAACCCCAGCATGGCCACACGCTCACATGTGCACATGCATAAATGCATAGCAAAAAGACTGGGAAAAAATATATGGATAATAATGATGATTTTGGCTAATAGGACTTGGGGTGATTTCTGTTCCTTTATTTTCTAAAAATGTTGACCTGAGAAAAAATGTAAGCCAGAAAAAAAAAATTAAGAAGGAAAACAGGTCCTTTGTTTGCTGAGACAAATTGTGTGGAAGCTAAGCTAACCTAAGCATTTCAATCGGATGGGTGATTTCCACAGCTGCGGGACCCAGAGGCGGACCCCCCCATGGAGGACCTGAGGCTGCGCATGGGGCAGCTCCAGCACCGGGTGCTGACCCTGCAGTGCCAACTCAGAGACCAGGCGTCTGCCCACTTCCAGCTGCAGGTGGCACTCGGGGAAGCCGCCCACCTTCGGGACCAGCTTCAGGGTGAGGTAGGCTCGAGCCGCGCTTCCTTTCCCACCTGTAAACGAAATGGGCCCATGCTCCAGGAAGTTTTGTTTTTGTTTTTATTTATTTTTTTAAGATTGTATTTATTTATTTATTTGAGAGAAAGAGCGAGCATGAATTGGGGGACACGAGGGAGAAGGAGACAGACCCCCTGCTGAGCAGGGGGCCCGATGCAGGGCTCAATCCTAGGACCCTGAGATCATGACTTGAGCCGAAGGCAGACGCTTAACCTAACTGGTTGAGCCACCCAGGCATCCCTCTGGGAAGTTTTGAAGATTGAAAAAAGAATCAGGCGAAATCTCACCATTCCCAGCATTTTGGTAGTATTTATGAGATTTCCAAGGTAAAGAGCAGTATGCAGAAGGAAGTGAGGCCTGTAATCCCTCAACCAACCAACTTCTGTTCCATCTGAAACTCATATACATGCGTTTTTCTAGATAGTCTAACTAGTTTTCAAATGTTACATATATAGGAGTGAAGTGAGAGTGATTTTACGAAAGGGCAGAGAGATCCTTGTTGATGTGAAAGCGTTCGTTATCTGTGATGATGGAGATACGAACTTTTGTGGGGGATAAAATTGCACAGAACTTAGTACACACATATACACACAGGACAAGCAGAACTAGAGAAATCGGAGCATGATTGTTAACAATATAATAGACATTATAGGGTTGTAATATACTATAGTTTTGCAAAATGTTCCCCTTGGGGGAAATGGGGCAAAGGATACAAGGGGTTTCTTTGTATTATTTCTTACAACTGCATGTAGATCTATAATTATGTCAATTTTTAAATGCAAAACAAAAAAAAATAGTCCTTCCTCCCTTTGACCCCAACCCCTTCTGAACTCCGGCATTTTTTTTCAACCCTATCTACTCACATTCAGTGTATGTGTGGATGTGTATACATAAATGAAATTTTACCATACAAAAATATTCTGCGTCTTGATTTTCTCATTTAAAAAACATTTTTTTTAAAGATTTTATTTATTGGGGTGCCTGAGTGTCACAGTTGTTAAGCATCTGCCTTCGGCTCAGGTCATGATCCCAGGGTCCTGGGATCGAGCCCCGCATCGGGCTCCCTGCTCGGCGGGAAGCCTGCTTCTCCCTCTCCCACTCCCCCTGCTTGTGTTCCCTCTCTTGCTGTGTCTCTGTCAAATAAATAAATAAAATCTTTTTAAAAAAAGATTTTATTTATTTGACAGAGAGAGAGGAGCAAGAGATAGTGAGAGAAAGCATGAGTGGAGAGGAGAGGGAGAAGCAAGCTGACGTGGGTTCGATCCCAGGACCTGGAGATCATGACCTGAGCCGAAGGCAAATGCCTAACCGACTGAGCCACTCAGGCACCCCTAAATCCTCTCATTTAATAGAAAATTTTGGTGATATCTCCATATCAACGCATACAAACTGATCTCATTTTTAAAAAAACTCCATACTATATTTTCATAAGGCCAAACCATAACTGACTTAATCAATTCTTTGTTTATGGAAATCCAATTTTTTTCTGTTTCTTTGCTTGACAAAGCTTAGTGAACCTTTCTATAGCTCTATCTTGGGATATGTTTCTGCTACATATTCAAAGGTTAAAAGTCTAGCAAAGTAATTATTGGGTCAGTGGATATGTATGTAATTAACTTTGACACGTAAGGGCGAATAACCCCCCAAAGTGGCTGTATCATTTATGCTTCCGCCAGGAACAAATGAGCGTATGTGTTTGCCCGCACTTGTTACCCCGAATGTTATCACATTTTACATGTTTTTGACAAGCTGATGGATGAAAAACACACCATCAACATTGAGACGTAATCTCTGGCTCCGTTCCCGTGCATTCTTTGTATAATCAGATGCTCTAGACTTAGAGTTTCATGTCTGTTGCATCCTAGACCTTGTGCCCAGTTTTTTTTTTTTCCTGTGCAGTAATCTATTGGGTGGATGTGATTTTCATTCACCTGTTGTTGGATCTATGGTTATTTCCATTAATTTATACATTCCTGTTTATATGCAAGAGTTCAGAGAACTGGGATTACTGGTGCAGAGTGGGGGTAGTGATGGTTCTTAATACGTATTGCAGAGAGCTTTCCCAGAGCTGGAACCCACTTGCAAAGCCCAGGCAGTGAACAGGGAATGTTCCTCACTGTGCTATCAGCCAGCAAAGGAGCTCTTAGGCCTTTTTTCTCCTGTCACTGATCTGTGAAGAACATAATTCCATTTGCACATGCTGGGGCTTTTATCAGATCCAGTATCTTTTGAAGTCTGTTTTTCACAATTTTCAATGTGTTTTTTTCTTTCTGCTCTTCAGTTTGGGTATTTTTTTCTAACCCATCTTCCAGTGAATACTCTTCCGGAGAGTCAGATTTACTCACAAACTCATTATTTTTGTTCTTAATTTCAGGTATTATATTTTGCAATCCTAGAATTTCTATTTGGTCCTTAAAAAAAAAAAGATTTTACTTATTTGAGAGAGAGAGAGAGAGCGCGTGCACAAGCAGGGGGAGGGGCAGAGGGAAAGGGAGAAGTGGACTTCCCACTGAGCAGGGAGCCTGATAGAGGGCTCAATCCCAGGACCCCCGGATTAAGACCTGAGCTGAAGGCAGAAGCTTAACAGACTGAGCTACCCAGGCACCCCTCCATTTTGTTCTTTTCTAATTTTTATTTTATTTTAGCTCCTCCCCCCCCTTTTTTTTTTTGAGAAAGAGAGAGTGCAAGTGGGGTGGGGCGGGGCAGAGGGAGAGGGAGAGAGAGAATCTTAAGCAGACTCCTTGCTGAGCGCAGGGCCTGATGCGGGGCTTGGTCTCATGACCCTGAGATCAGGACCTGAGCCGAAATCAAGAGTCAGATGCCTAACTGACTGAGTCACTCATGTGCCCCCTCCCATTTGGTTCTTTCTTTTTCTTCTTCTTCTTTTTTTTTTTTGTAGCTTTCTGTTCTCTGATGAAATTCTTGTAATATAACGGTGGAGTATTTCAATCACAGTTACCTTAAGGTCGGTCTGTGTTCCCATAGCTCTGTTCCCCACTCCCACCAGCATGCGCAGAGGCCCCCACCTCTCCACGAGCTCACCGATGTTCACTACCGTCTGTTTGGTGATGACCATCTCAGTGAGCACGAAGTGTCAGCTCCGTGTGGTTTGATTTGCCTTTCCCCAGTGGCTGATGGTATTGAGCATTTTTCACATGCCTATTGGCCATTCATCTATCTTCCATCAGAGAAATGACCATTCAGTCCTTTTGTCCATTTTGCAGCTGGGTGGTTTATTTCTTTGTTGTTGAGACGCAAGAGTCTGTATATGTTCTAGATACGAGTCCCATATTAGATATGTGGCTGGCAAATATTTCCTCCCATCTGCTGTCCTTTCGCTTTCTTCTCATTCGCTTTTTCATTGCGATGCATTCACGCTGTTTCCAAAACCGAAGCAGAGAGGAGGTTGAATCCAAGCCTGCAAACACTATCGAGTGCCTTTTGAATAGAAGACCGTCTGCTTGCAGCTGGTGTTTTACACTTTGAATACTTTCGGAAAGGTATGCCGAAAGAGCTGTGTGGGAATGTCCATCGAAGCCTTGTTTGCGAAGCAAAGAAGTGATATACATTTTCATAAAGAATGGGCTCAACAGATCGTATTTCAGCCTCATGCTGAAATAACATGCAAGATTTTAAACAGATGTGATCAGTTCGTATGTATTGACATAGAAATAACACCTTTGATTGTAAATTAAATGACAAAACCAAGATGTAAAACGTTTGAATGGTGTCATTTCATGTGTGTATATACATACGTAGGCATTCTGGTTGTGAATATGCAAGGTTGAGACCTGCGTGAGAGATCAGAAGAGGTTGGGAAGAGGAAGAAGGATTTTTATTTGTGCAGCGTTCTTGTTCTGACTATAGAGGGAACAAGAGGATGAAGGAGAAGAACTTCTAGAACAGCCATCTTACTCTGTCTTAGGATTTTGTGGGTCAGCAATTTAGACAGGACTTGGCTGGGCAATTGTGCTCCACAAAGCATCAGTGGGAATGACTCGCTGGTATTCAGCCAGGTGTGGGGCTTTCCTGGAAGGTCCAGAGTTCTTTCACTCACGTACGCATGCCAGATAGTAATAATTGTTTACATTCAGTGAGCGTTAACTGGATATTTTAAGCAAAAGGGAAACAATTCACAGAGCCCTCGATATATAACCCTCACTAATTAGGTAGGTGCTAATATTATCCCCACTTTACAGACGAGAAGACTGAGGCAGAAAGAGAAGTGATTTGTACAAGGTCACAGTTCTAGTGAGTGGCTGAGCCAGGATTGGGACCCAGGGTGTCTGGCTCAGTTACCCAGAGGTTTAACATGGCACCGAAAAACTGGCATGTTTGCAGGGGGAATCCGGGAATGCTTCCTGTCCGAAGGAAGAAGCAACAGAACTGGCCCCACAGCGGCAGTCTGGCAGCGCTCAGGGCATCCTCCCTCCTCTGATCTTGCAGAGCCGGGGATGGGAAAGGTCCCTGTGCCTCACCGAGAAGCCCGTGTGGGGGAAAAAAGGGGACTAGAGCCAACCTCTCTGAGCCCAGCTCGCCTGGGGAGACGCTGGCTGTGTAAACAGGGACTCAGCATTTTACGCACGTTAGTTCTCTTTCAGCTTAATGAGCTTCAGAAAAAGCAACTATGCCTATGAGGTCAATATTAAATGTTTCTTTCGAGCAAATAGAGCTCGGGTTTTCCCCATTCTAGGTGTTTAGTCCATCTTTATTATTTAAAAAAAAAAACTGGAAAGAAGAGATATACCCCCCAAATTCCCATTTGAATCTAGTTTTTTCATGTATTTTCTTCCAGTATACTTGACATGTGTCTGAGATCCCACCACACCTACATGTCTGTGTCCTGCTTTTCCTGCCTGAGAATAATCCAGAAGGCCTGTCCTTGTCTGTCCTGAGCCCCGAATCTGCTGTTCTTGCTGGAGAACAAAGCACGAGATGCCGCAGTGCATAAAGCTGCCGGGCCCTTGCTCCGTGGTCAGGTCCGTCTGTCCATCCTCCCCCCTCCCGCCCTCTTTTGCATTCTCATATATAAACACCGTGATGCACACATTTTATTAGAAAGATTTTCCCCACATAGCCAGACGTGTCTTTAGGACAGATTCCCAGAAGTGGTCTTACTGGCCCAAATGTTCTTCACCATTCGGACGTGCCGTTTGTTGGAGACGACACATTTCACCTCTGATGTGAACCTGGATTTGGGGAGTGGATCCGGAGGGCCAACCCCTTCTGTCCTGTCTCTGGGCGGGGTGCAGAGGGGGCCCTGGGCCCTACTGACTCACTGGCCCGACCCGTGCTGGGGCCTCGGTTTCCTTAGATGTTAACTCAGAAACGTGAGCCACGCAAGCCCTCAAGCCCTTCTCCCTCCCAGCGCTCCCACGTCTGTCGGAGGCTCAGGTCTACGGCTGTGACGTGGAGTGTTGGTAATTCCCACTCACAGCTTGTCCTGACGTCAGCGGTGGAAATGTCCACTGTAATGCCCTATGAAAATGTGATGCTTCCATGCTCCGCCCTCTTGTTTTTATCATTTCCTTGTACCTTTTTCTTCAACAAGCACCATAATCCCTTATAAACTATGAAGGCTGCCATATGCCAGGGACTCCACACAGAGTTTGTTCTAAGGTCCACAAGCAACATGTTGGAAAGGGGAACATGAGCCCCACTTTACAGATGGGGAAAACTGAGGCTCACAGAGGAAGTGACCTGCCCATAGTCACACAGAGCTACTTGGTAGCAGTGCCATGATTTCATCCCAGCTCTATCTGATGCCAAAGGCTCCCCTCAGCCACACGGTCCCTCCAGGAGGTCAAGTTCATGAAGAGCCCAGTAGTCACCATCACCATCAACAAGGCCGCCTTCTCTGGGGGGAGCCACACGTACGATGTTTGGCAGACGCTGGCTGAATGCACGAGGCCCTGATGTTTTGGGGTGGTGTGATCCAGGGGGCCTGGGGAGCCCCACCCAAGTGTGCTGAGAGCCCTGGCCTCCGAGTCAGACCCCCCCCATTCCTGCCCTGCCTTCTTGCCGGGACTGGGTGTCCAAGTACCGCTGCCTAGGGGATGTGCCCAAGCCTCTGGGCAAAAAGTCCTGGCAGGAAAGGATCATCACCTCCTCCTCTGACGGAGCAGAAGAGCACACCAGGAGGGAAGGAGACTGGCCCAGGGCCACCCTCAAATGACGAGAGTCTGTCATCCCCTCCAGACATGCACAGATGCAGGAGGTCATTTCAAGGTGGGGGGGGGTCACTCACTCATACCATTTGTAGAACAAATCCCTCCCAAGGGCCATGCTGTGCCCAGCGATGGGCCAGCGATGGTGCAGGGATCCAGGGCTGTGTCACTCTTGACCTTGAGGAGCTCCCAAGCTATGTGGGAGACAGACCCGCAAATATAAAAATCAACCATCAGGATAGAAGGAAGCTGGGAGCCAAGCACAGAGGGACATGAGCTCTTTTATCCTGGTGCCCTTAACGATGCCCGTTGTACAGATGAGCAAGTCGAGGTGTAGAGAGGAGCTTGGTCACAGAGCTGGTCAGTGGCGGAGTCCACGCTATTGACCCCTGATCCTGGACCCCATATCCAGAGGGCAGTGGGGAGCCTCTGGGGCGGGTAGAGTGCAGCAGTGTGGTGACTTGTTTTCAAAGCAGGTTCTGGCTTCTGGGCACGGGGAGGAATTGCAGGGAGAGTGCTGAGCTCAGGCAGCTGGGAGATGCAGAGCAGGGACCCAAGGCCCCAAGCCCAGCTCAGCCGACCAATCCCCGGGGTGCCCAGCATCCGTGGACCCACCTGGCTGAATCTCTGCTCCCACACCTTCAGGCCGAGCTGGCTTCCCTGGTCCAGAAGTGCCAGGAGAGGAACCATCTGACCACGTACCTACTGTAGGAGCTGTGCAGACACGGGGTGGAGGATCGGCTGCTCTCTGAGATGGCGCAGAGCATGGGGGATGACGTGGTGCTGGCCGAGTACACGGCCACCTTCCTGGCCCTGGGGCTCCCAGAGGTAGTTTCCATAGACAGTGCTGTCCCCCTTCCAGGGGCAGCTGTGGGCCCGTGAGTTTCCTGTCCACCCGCCTGACCTGAACCGTCCCTCTCCCCTTCTGTCCACAGAGCCCACCCAGAACGTGCCCAAGACTCTGGCTCCATGCTGGCCCCTGTGCTCCCACCTGGTGCAGGAGGGTGATCTGGGCGTCCTTACCCTTAAAGTGCTTACACTCCAGTGCCGGAGACAGACACACAAACAGCGTCAGTTCAGTGTCCTGCAAGCACCAGGGGTTCTTTCACTTGTGCCCCAGGGCCTTAGCACTCACCGCTCCCCACCCCGGCAGGATTCTTGTCTGTCCCGCAGCCTCCTACCCATCCTTTGAGATGCAGTTCAAGTGTGACCTTGTCCAGGGAGACTTCCCTGAGCCCATGGACCACGGAGTTAGCCACATCCTCTGTCCTCTGTGGTACGCCAGAGGGATTTTCCCCTGCTGTTGTGGGAGCTTTGTCAGCACCCCTCTGTTGGGGCCAGAGTGGCCCCATAACCATCTCTGTCTCCCTGGTGGCTGGCCCAGAGAAGCTGCTCGGGGAATACTTGTTGAGTGAATAAAATCAGGAACTAATTGAATGAGGATCTCCTCTCCTAACAGCCATCCAAAGAGGAAACTGAGGCCCAGAGAGGTTGGGAGGCTGACTTAAGGTCACACAGCCTCCAGGCAGTGTGGATGGTCATGGATGCCAGTTCTCACCCAGGTCTGGTCCTGAACTTCTCTGTTCAGGGGTCTGTGTTCATGGTACGGCGGGTGCTCAGTTGAGGCCGCAGCCCACCCCCCTTCACACACAGGCAGGCACACAAACTCATTCCTGGGGACCAGCCAGCAACACCCCCACCAAACGCAGCTTCTGATGGTGTGAGGGCGAAGTACAGCTCCTTCTGTAGACACAGCCAGCCCTGTTTTCCACACTCCCGCTCAGCGGCCTAGCACTAGCTCCGCTCCTCCACTCCTTGGCCCTTCCCAGCCCAGCTCTGCAAGGCCCGCCTTCTCCGTCCCTTCCGTTCCCCCACAGCCATCAGAGGCCGCCTGGTCCCAGCCACCATACAGCCCAGGAGGCGAGACCTGGAGGCCAAGGGGTCTGCTCAGGGCTGCATGGTAACTTGGTTCAGAGTCAGAATTTGAATCCAGAGTCCCAGACTCCCAGTCCAGTGCTCATCTCTGCATGAATTGTTCAAGCCTCTTCAGAGCCAGCATAGGGCTGAGGAAACAAGTTAGCAGCTTGCTGAAATGCTTGTCACAGTCTCTGTTGACTGAGGCAGGAGGGAAAGCAGAGTTCCAGGGGTTGGGATGCAGTAGGTGTCATGTGGGAGGGCCAGCTGGCTGTGTGCTGAGGGGGCATCTTAGCACTGAGAGCCCCACCCTCCAACGGCTGCTCTGAAACTAGAACTAAAATGTTTGCTGGGATTGGATAGGCTGACTTACAATGACCAAATTCAGAGACACTGATGTATAAACCTAAACACTAATTTATCAGTTTCCTGTGAGAACTAGAACCATGTGCAGGGTGATGGATTGGATGGATGGATGAAAAAATGTCAGCATATACTTCCCCTAAATGGCGGAGTTGTCTGGAAAGTCAAGTTCATTCATTCATTCCTTTGTTCATTTGTTAGTCACTGAACATTTATAATCATTTATAATCAGAATCCTTTTGGACACTGGGATGAGAACAGGGAGAGTTAATGGTATTGTCAGCCTGATTCATTCATTTCCTGTAAGGTTGTGCTCCTGGGGCCTGGACGTGCCTCCTGCTGGGCCAGGGTGTCTCCCCGAGACCTGCTGAAAGCCGTGGCTAGTTATAAGCTTCTACTGTTCTAAGGTGGTTTTGAATCTACCCTGACTCGTTTTGCATTACTTTACGGCTCCGCTCTCTAAGAACACCCCCATTTTCACGATTGGGGTGGGGGTGGGTGACTGATTGTTCCCTGTGCAAACCACAAAGTCCACAGGTACTTACTGAGCACCTACCGCCATACCCCAGGCCTGGTGCCAAGCGCGGGGCAGAAATGGTGAAGTGGACAGACCAAGTGGGCAAGAATCTTACAGGCTCTGAGCCTCAGTTTTCCCATCTGTAAAATGGCAACAGTACAGCCTACATGGCAGAGTTGACCTGAAGACAGATAATCTGTTGAGCGCCCCATACAGGGGGTCCCACTGGGTAGGAACCTGGCCTTTTTGTAGGCAGTTGTCAAGAGGGCGTGCTCTGACATCAGGGAGCTCCACCACTGCCTAGCTGTATGGCCATAGGAGGGGACACTTATGTGTACCCCTTAACAGTGCATGGGCACTTCCCGTGTGCTTTATGGAGCTCACTCAGGAGGTCCTCCCACGGAGAAGGAGCCTCTTTATCCCTTCCCCAGATGGGAAACCTGAGGCTCAGCAGTTGCAAGTCTGGCTCAAAGACACACATCTCTGAGTAGCTTTCTAGCTCGGCCTTGTCAGTGTGAAACTGCTTGGCTGAGCCCAGCTGGGGTTTGACCCCAGTAGGGGGCTTCTGGGTCCTGCCACTGCAGTCACGAGCCTGTGGGAAAGGGGGTGTAGCAGGTGCATGTGCGCTGTTGGGAGTCTGGGCTGCAGCGCGGGGTCTGGCACATCCCACGTCCTCAAGGAATCGGTCCCTCTTGTTGCTGGAAGGCCGACCCTCAGCGTGCAGCCATTAGGCAGTGATGTGTCTCAGAAACCAAGGGTGATGCTCCAGGCTGGCTGGCTGGAGGGGCTGGGTGCCGAGGGGAGCAGTGGTGGGAGACTGGAGTGGTGGGAGGTCACTTGTGCTTCATTCCTGAGTGAGTGGGGGGCCAGCGCTGGTGGGGGTCCCTGTGCTTCGGGAAGGCAGATCCAGCAGGCGTGTGGCCTAGGCCGGGCTGCCGGGGCCATGAAGGCCGTTCAATAGCCAGTGACTTGGGCTGTGAGGACCGAGGGCCAGGCAGCCGAGCAGAGCCTTGGGGGCACTGAGGCCCTCGGGGTGGTGGCGGCAGTTCCTCTTGCTGGCAGCTGGGCACTGACTTTACGGGCACTGACTCTCATTTCAGAGAACACAGATGGAATTCCTGATGCAGGTTGTGGAGCCCGGCTTACAGCCTGGGAGCCCTGCCCGGCTGGCTGGGGAGACACGTGTGGGCTCGGGGTGGGATGCACCAGAGCAGAGGGAGCACCGAGGCTGGGCAGCGGGGCTGGCCTACGTGCCAGTTGAGGCCTTGCGGAAACATCTCTGGGAGGGCCTGAACCCTGGAGGCTCAGGATGTCTGGTGTCTGCCCTTGGGAGGAGACCCACACTGACCGCAGACGTCCGAGGGAGGACAGGCCGCCGTTCGTTTGTTCACTGGATGGCAATTATGGCTGAGACTCAGCCCTTCCCTGTTCCAGCATGTTCCATGGATTAGCTCACTTCATTCTCCCAAGGCCTGCTTTATCGGGGGGAAACCGAGGCACAGAGCAGTCAAAGAGCTGGTTAGGGTCACACCTGGGGCCGGCAGACGGGTTCAGAGCTATGTCCGTCCACACTCCTGCCCTTGGAGGAGGGTGCTCACGCCTGCAGCAGGTCACTCGGGTCAATGTGTATCTCCCGTTGAGTTTACGATTTTCTCGCCCTGATTGGGCAGGCGATAGACAGTAAGCCTCGGTCCTCTGAGCATCTGTGTCTTTTCCTCGGTGCCGTGTCTGAGTCTCATAGTCAGCTCAGGCAGCTGTAACAGAATCCCACAGGTGGGGGCTTAAACCGCAAACATTCATTTCTCACGGTTCTGGAGCCTGGAAGTCAGAGATGAGAGTGCAGGCGTGGATGGGGGGCTGGTCAGGGGGTCATCTGGACTGCAGCCTCGGGAAGATGGAGGCGACCGGGACAAGGGAGCTGCTCATTTCCCTTCCTCTTGCCCTGCTCGTTTCTCTCCCCTCCACCTCCTGGAAAAAGCTTGCTTTCCTCTGAGTACTGTCAACAAGATCTATATATGGGCCTTCAGAAATGGATCTCGTCTTAAAAAGCAGCGAGACCCTAATTCATTAAATCAATGAGCCCAAGCCTGGGCCTCCTGGGATCCAGGCAATTACTTTGTCTTTAGCTTTTGCATTTTATGAAGTTTAGAATATTCCCCAAAAGTTTACACAGGTAGAGAGACAGGGGGAGTGGAACATGTAGGGCGAATCTTTGCTACCCTGTGTGGAACATCCAGGAGACATCCATTCTCATTGTATTCCACCAAAACCCCACAAGGGACTTAGTAGTATGTCCATTCTACAGATGGACAGGGCAAGGCTCGGGGAGTTCCACTAACTTGGCCAAGACCATGGAATTGTAAGCGGCAGAACCAGGGTTCAGCCTGAGAGTGCCTGGCTCTGAGCCTCTCCAGGCTGGTGGGATACATGAGGCGCAGGAAGCAGAGGAGGACCACTAAAACCCTGATCGCATGCCGAATGCAGTGCCCCCTGGAAGCCAGTTGAACGGATCTGAGGCTGCCCTGGATACGAAGGTCAAGGAAACCTCGTTCTCATGTTGAAGGCGTCTGCATCGAATGAGACACGCTCTAAAGCTGGGTGCAAGGGGAGGCATGTGTTTGGAGCATTGGCAGTGAGCAGAGAGCCTGAGAGAGAGACTTGATGGGGAAGAGGCTTCCTGGAAGAGAAGGTACACACATCAGGCTTGGAAGGATATAGAGGGGTTATGATAGCTGGAGGGATGGAATGAAGGCACTCGAGGCCCGGAGACCTGCATGAGGGAGGGCCCCGGGGTGTGAACACTGAAGGTGCTGGAAGATGCATGGTGTCCCGGGGGATATAAGCACCAAGTGCTAAGAAGAGGCAGTGAGCATGCCTAGTGCAGAAGGCTCCAGGAAGTGTGGTGTGGATTATGGTCAAGCCATAATCTGTGCCCTTGTGCATTAGCTGCCGGATTCGTCAATCCCCTTTAGAGGGGACAAACGGCCCAGTTGTCCCTGCACGGCACACGGAGGGACTTTGTGAGAGGTAGGTGGCTGAACTCTGCCAGGTGGAGTCAGGGAAGACTTCACACAGCAGGGGACATTTGAATGAGGTCATGGCATACACACAGGGAGAGAGCGAGTGAGCGCCGGGGTCTTTAGGCAGGGGGGCCAGCTGATGTAAGTGCTTGGTGGGCACAGTGATGGGGGAAAGGAGGTATCCCAGTGACCAGCTCGCAGGGCTCCTGCTCCGCCAGAAACACCCATGAAGAAGCATGGTCTGGGCCGCTGGTCTGGAATCTGACCTGCCTTCAAGGCCAGCACTGATCTTGAACAAGTTAGGGGCTGCCAGGCCAACCAGCCAAGTTGCCCTTGCCACACCACTCTTGTAGACCCCGTGCAGTCATGGGATCCAGGAGGACCACCACCCAGTCGATGGGGTGGCATGGGGGACTTGGGTTCCAGCCCAATCTGAATTCCTGGGCGACTGAGCCAGGGACCCCAGGGGCAGTTCAGCGATCAGCTCTCACAAGGTGTCATCGGGACCTCCGTGGAGAAAGAATATTCCTCTTGGAAACTCTTGCCATCCAGCTGCCTTCCATTTCCCCACTTTTAACAGCAGTTTCTGAAACACATTAATCACAGGCTCCGTTTGGAGAATTAATTCGGGTAAAGGAAATGCAATCGTTTTCCTGCACCTGTATTCTCTCAGAGCCGATCTTCCTCCTTTGTGGGTCACGGGCAGGGGAGGGACTGGTGGATCTGGGCAGGGAATGTGCTTTCTGCAGGGAAGGGTGAGAAGTCTGCTTCGTTCCAGTTGCGGCCACCTGCGTGAGGCTTTTTCTCCTGAGCCGTTCAGAATAACTGCTGAGATGTCTTTTCTTCCAGACCAGCCACCATCTGGATGTCGAGTCTGAGAAGGCAGCTGTTGTAAGAGGTCAGTGCGATATTCAATTAGGAATATATGTGTGCTCAGACATGGTCCCAGCCAGCAGGACTATCTGACGGGTGGGCCTGGGTCAAGTGTGAGGTGAGGTGAGGAACGGGACCCCATTTTCTCCCCCCTCCTTCCTGACTTGGCCCTGCTTTCTCAGTTCACAACGTAAGCAGAACACAGTAGGAAAAATACGGTCTCTGCAGAAGTAGCCCAACTCCTCAGCCCTGTAGTTTCACTCCTGGAAATTAATCCTAAGTGAATAATTCTCTGTGTGGAAAAGCTCAATGGACAGGTGTATTCATGACAGAGCATTTCTAATGATGAAAAACTGGCGGTGGCGGGAGCGGGGGATGCCCTCCAGCATTGTTAATTAACCCATAGACTCAATGAACTATTGGTCACTAAAATCATGCTGCTAAGCATCATGTAATACCATAGAAATGATGATATTCACCTAAATTTTTAAAAGCTAGGGAATGGAATGTAAGGGGTGATTACACTGATAAAGCTATATAACCACATCTGGATGATTGGCAACTTATGCTAGCAGATAAATTCTAACAGTGGTTACTTAGAAAGATGGTAATAGGAGTGATTGCTTGTGTTCTGTTATTTTTATTATGAAAAAGGAAATTAAGATGCTACCCAGGCAGGCAGAATTTCCCTGGTTAAGTGCAGCATGCTCTCAGCAGGGGGGAAGGAAGGCTTCTAAGGATTCGTTTAGGGTTATGTTCATATCAGGGGCTCAATAGGAACATGGAGAAAGTATGGATGGGGTTGACTTTAGGCACCTGAGCTGCTCTTGGGATCTGCTCATCTAGCAATTCTTAGTACAGGATTCTGTACTTACCAGCTGTGTAGTCTTGGAGGAGTTAATTAACCTCTCTGAGTCCCAGAGTCTTATCTTCTAAAGGAGGATGATAGGACCTTTCTCAGGAGTGTCTGGTGCCTGGCCCAAAAAGAGAAATCTTTTCCTTGTCTTTGTCTGGCCAGGCTGGGCCTGTCCTCCTGTACCTTCCTCTCCTATGCTTGCAGTCTGGGTGAGCATCCGTTTTCATGGTTGGAAGGGCATAATTCCACTTGGTCCTGCATCTGCCAGTAATTTGTGCCAGTGTCCTTCCTTTTCTGGGCTCAGCTTCCACAACTTTAAAGGAAGGAAATGTGCTAGATTGATTGAGTTATTTGTGCAGTCAACATTTCTGGAAAACTGCTGTGTACCAGATCCCTGGTAGGTGTTTCAGGGTTTACAAAGATGGGTCAGCTTGCAGAGGTGGTGGTTCCTGTGTTGAATGAGCTGGCAGCTGGGGAAGGAAAGCTGAGGCAGGCAGGCAGTTTTCTAGGATAACCATGACCATGGCAGGACCATCAGAGGGGTATGGATGAAGCACTCGAAACTTTGAGGATACCCAAGAGGGCCTCTGTCATGGGATGTGGGGATCTCAGAATAACAGAGACTGGAAAAGGTTATTCCAAGGCTCAGAGACTTGTTGATTTTTAGAATAGATTTCTGGGTTGAGGCTTGACTGAGAATACTCTCTTCTAGCTCAGAAATACCTCCTGAATCCCAAAATGGACAGTATCATCATCCAAAGACCTTTGCATTCAGAGTCCTGGCCTGTTCTCGAGGCTGAATGGCCAGCACAGACAGCTCGACTAGATTCTCTGAAGGTAAGAGGACATCAGTCATATAATTTCTTAGATCAGCTTTTTTATTAAAGGTATAACACACATACAGAAAAGGACCCGACTTGTAAGTGTACAGATCAATGAATTATCATGGAGTAATGCCCAGAAACGTATCACCAGGTTGAGAACTGGAAAATGCCCAGCCCCACAGAGAGAGACCCCTTGGTTTCCCCTCCTGGTCTCTGTCTATTATCTCTTTTTTAATTTGTGGGTTTGATCAAGTTGTGTGTTCTGTGTCTGGTTATTTTTCATCGAGTGCTGGACATCATGTGTGAAAACTTGGAGACATCATTTGAGGTTGATAATGTCTTCATCCAGAAAGGGCTTCCTTTTGCTTGTGACAGGTGATGAGGCCAGGACAGAGACAATTCCTCATGTCACAGCTGGTTCAGAGATGAGTTTCAGTACTTGCGAGGTCTGCTTTCCTTCCTGTTCACTCTTACTCCTTGGGCACAGCCTTTTGGGGTCCCGGCCAGAAGCCTGTAGTGTTTATCAGCATCTTTTGTCTGTGGCCCTTGTCAGTCCCATGAGGCTCTCAAAAGCTCTGCTTTGCCTTCCACCTCTCAGCCGCCACCAGCTCTGCCCTCACCTGGAGGGAATACGGTTTCCACGGCCATGGAAGCTACTCCAGCTTGTCTCCTGTTTTCCGTTTAAGTCCCTCAGATCCTGACCATATTGGTAGCTCTTGGGTGGTTTAAATAGATGCTGTGTTATGTTCTGTCCAGCTTCTCTAGTACTTACTGGAGGTTCGGTCCAAAATGTCCTAATCAGTTGCAGCCCGAGCAGCCCTCTTTTCCCAGAGAAAACGTATTTTACTTATGAGGTGTGGAGTCTGACAGGCCTGAGTTCAGATCCCAGCTGTAGTTTGGTGTGATGGTGGGCAGATTACTTAACGTGTCTGTGTCTCCGCCTCCTCGTCTGTAACATAGGGGTAATACCGCCTACTGCTAGTACGAGCACAAAATTAGGGAAGCAGGGCAGAATATGTGTCTGAACAAGAGAGATGCTCAAGAGGAAACAAAAAAAGCAGCCATGACTCAGGAGGCAACTGATCTTATTCTTAGCATTTTATCTCAGCCTATTATTGGTTTCCTTCTACCGGCCTTTTCTGTGGCTTCTCTCCTGCCTCCATGATTATATTAATTTTTTATCTAAAACCTGGAGAGAGGGGCGCCTGGGTGGCTCAGTCGGTGAATCGTCTGCTTTTGGCTCGGGTCATGATCTCAGGGTCCCAGGGTCGAGCCCCACTTCGGGCTCCCTGCTCAGCAGGGAGTCTGCTTCTCTCTCTCTCCTTCTGCCCCTCCCCCCAACTTGTGCTTTCTCTCTCTCAAATAAGTAAAACCTTTAAAAAAATAAAACCTGGGGACAATAATTTCCTCTTGGAATTGTTGAGACAGTTCTTTGGAATTGTAATGTGCTTACTATTCTGCCGGGTGCAAGAGACATGTTCAATAAATGTTAGCTATTGCTATTGACCTTCTTAAACCTTTTTTTTCCCCCTGACTGGTGACTTTCATTTTAAATTCCTCATATACAGGTTTATTACCTAGGAATGAGAACTTTCTTTCCAGCTCTGGTCTCTTTCTAGGAAAATTACCTCTGACTTTTGATCTTTGGCCTGGCTTATCACAAGCAGGGGGGAGGCATTCTCAACAAAGGGAACAATGCCTGTCAAGACAGAGGGGTGAGTGCTCCTCAGAGGTTGGGGGAACTGGGAGCCATTAAATGTGGCTATGGCACAACGTAAGAAGGTGTAGAGAGGAGTCTAGGAGATCGCAGTGATGGTGTGGATGAGAACAGCGATGGGAAAGAAAACCCCCACTCCTGCTTCTTTAATGCTTGCTTACTATGTACAATGCACTGGCTTTTCCAGTCCTCACGAGGGGCCTACAAAATAGGAATCAGCATTAACCCCCTTTCCCTATGAGAGAAGGTGAGGAGAAGAGGGGGTACACGGTTAGTAAGCGGCAGAGCCGGGGTCCAGCCCAGGCAGCCTGGCTCTGAAGCTGGTGTGGACAGATGGAGCGGGGCCTTCCCTGGGGGGATGGGAGTGGTCCCTCCTACCTCTGGTGCAGCCCAGTCTGGAATTCAGTGTGAGAAAAAAACCCTCAAAGGTGCGCTCTAGTTGGTGCTGGCCAGAAACCAACAGCTACCCTCTCGAGGACGTGGTCCGAGCAGAACTTGCATGAATGAATGAACCAAAAATGCACCCTAACACTCGTATGGTCCCAGGTTTCTCTGTTATTCTTTAACTTTCTTCAAAGTCATTGCCACGCCCATAGCATGCCACTGGATGAAAACCCTTCCTTTGTTGGACAGAATTTCCAGCCCACAGGATGTTTTTGTGCCTTTGCAGCAGGATGAGAGAATGTCAATGTCAACATTTCTGTTTCCATGTTTTACCCAGCACTTGGCCGTGGGGGGTCTTCCTGAGTAATTAGAGAGGGGCTGGTGGGCTCTTTCTCTAGAGGGTCATGCGAGCACCTCGCTCTCACCCCCCAGCACAGCATTGTCACCCCCCTGCTCAGTCGTGGTTTTGCTCAGTCGTAAAGGACGTCGAGGAACAGAGCCCTCTGCCTTTCGGAAAAACAGATTGCAAGCCGTGGATCCGGGCTGGCTCGGGGCAGCAGCTTCCTACGGGGAAAATGAGTTTGTTAAGTAATTGCACCAGGGGATCAGTGACCCGTCAGCAAAATGAGGTCATTTTTGAAGGACAGTAACTAAATTTGTCACATGTCGCAAATCTATTATTTTATGGTTGAGCTTAGACCAAAAAGAAAAAAAAAAAAGCTGAGGGGAGCCTAAAAATACACAAAAATATCCTGAAAAGGCTGGGAAACCTTTGGTGATTTGTCTGGAAATATTTGTCCCTATGTCACATTACCCTGATCCTGTCACTCGGTCACTGAAGACCCTTCATCCGTCCTGTGTTTAACAGCAGACTGTAGTGGTGAACAGTGCGGTCTCGGGGGTCATGTGGCCTGGGCTCGCATCCTGACTTTGCCTCCTATTGGCTGTGTGGCCATAGGCAAGTCACTTAACCTCTCTGGCCCTCTGTTTCTCCATCTGTGTAATGGGATAATAATATCAGTTACCTCTTTGGGCTCAAGACTGAATGAATCAATATGCATACATTGCTTAGCATGATACCTGGCCCATCACAGGAACTCAATGAATGTTCACCATCATGGGTTCAACCATATGAAATACGCCCCCGTCCTACAAAATCTGTGGTTTCATAAGGTTTACACTATTCTTATTAGGATAAGTCCAGGTTCCTTAAGTTGCTGTTTGCATTCAGTGTGTACATTACTATACATGGAATGACCTTCAGTTTTTAACACCGCAGAATCCCGCTCCTTCCCCAAAGTCTGGCTCAGACACCGCCTCCTCCAGGAGGCCTTCCTACTCCTCAGTGTGCAGTGGGTGCTTCCCTCCTGGGTGCTCCCCGGTAGCTGCATGGGCCTCTCTTCCGGCTCCATCTCTGCAGCGTTGCTGCACGTGTGTCTGCTGCTGGGTGGGGAGCACCCTGGGGGAGGGGCTGGTCCAGGCGGGGCCCACAGGGTGGTGCCCGGCGACCCTCACCCCCTCTTCTCTCGCGCTCCGCCTTTCTCAGCCATCATCCTCTGCTGGCACTGAGAGGGTGCTGAGCGTGCACCATTGCCCACGGTCACTGCCCCCCTGGGGTCACTGGAGAAGTGTGCGTCATTCCACCTGTCTGACCGCTGAGGCACAGACCTCCTAGCCCGTCAGCCAGGGGACTGAGCAGGGACGGAAGTAGGACTCGCACTGGGGAGCACAGGAGTCCTTCCTTCCTGTCATTTGCAGGGAAGGCGTATGATAAATGGGGGATGCTGGGCATGAAGGGCTGATACCCTATAGAAGCTGCTGGGGGAGCTCCAGGAAGAGTGGGGTCTTGAGGTTGGGTGGCTTGGGTGTGGGCATTGAGCTAGTCACGCCAGAGTGGCATGGATGTAGGTAAGCTCTTTAGAGTGTGTGAAACAGGCACCGGGTTCCTCATCCGTCGTGCGGGCCTGATGGCCGCCTGGCGGGAGGATTCCATGGAGACAGGTGAACCAGTTCATTGAGAAGAGCCATGGGCAGTGCTGGGCATGAGGTCAGCATCCTGTTGATGCCAATTTCCTTCTGATGGGATGGTCACCATCTCTCGACCCTGTGAACAAGAAACCTTAGAGCAGACCCCTGCTCTGTGGGGACAGCCATCAGCGACCCTCTTGGCAGACACCTGCTGGGTGATGTGGTGGGAACCACCCCCCAGCCCCGGCTCCTCACCCGCGGCACCATGATGGCATTGTGTGCCTCGTTGAACTGTCATAGAAGGAAATGAGCAATGCAGGGGGAGCCCTGGTGGGAAGCCCGGAAAGTGATCAATACATACTCCTCATCATTGCCGTCTCTTCCCTAGACGAACGTGGGATCGAGGGCTTTTATGAACATGTAGAAGCAGAGACCATTTCATTCTGCTCTTGCCTCCAGCTTCCCCTGCCCTCGGGGCGGACGCCTGCTCCTGGAGTGTGCCTGGCTGCAGCTGCCTCAGAACCAGCACTCCCCGCACAGCGCCTGCAAGAAGAAGGTGGACCGTCCGGTCCCGTCCCCCGAGCTGATGGCCTCCCGCCACCCTCTGAGCTCCTGAGTCCTGCTAGGATCCTGGCTTTCCACAAAGAGCTTCGACAAAGCATTTGCAGCAATTCCCAGGTCAATAAATCACCACTGGAGTTATAAATTTAATAGAACCACTCACGCTCTGGGGACATTTCATAGACTCCATAAATATTTGAAGCAGAACCTTCAGACACTGCTTGAAGAAATTGGTAGCAATCAAAGCCCTCATTCCGTGGCAAGTGGTTTTGCCTTTGGCTCGGGGGGCGGGGGATCTATGTTGGTTGTCTGAGCTTGGGAGAAATGCTGGAAGGAGCTCACACATTCTGAGGGCTTCGGCTTTGGCTAATGTCAAGGCAACAAAGAGAGTATTTACTGTACCAAAACCTATTGAATGACGACGGGTCCGATGGTTCTCCACTGGGCATGATTTTTCCCAAGCAGGGAAAAATTTGGCAATGTCCAGAGACATTTTTTGTCATCTCAACGGGGAAGTGCTCCTGGCTTCTAGTGGACGGAGGTCAGGGATGCTGTTACACATCCCACGATGCACAAGATAGCATCCTACAACGGAGATTATCCAACCCAATGTCAACAGTGCCGGGGTTGGGAAGCCCCGGACTGGCCCGATAGCTCCTAACATCGCCAGCAGCGGAGAACTCTTTTGTTACATTCCTGCCCTCAGGGCCCTTCCCCATGTTTTAGAAGATTTTTGTCTACTAATGGACATGCTTAATTTAAGTAATTATATATTTGACATTTTAAAACATTAAAACCAAGCAGAATTTTCTAATAAGCCCAATCATTCAACAGACACTTGTTGATATCCCACAAATGCCAGGAAATATAATGTGGAGGGTGAGGGGGGTGAGTCAGCTTTGGTCCCCGCCCCGGGAGCTCAGAGGGCAATGGGACACACATGGACAAACAAAGCTCTGACCTCCAGAGAGCAGCCAGATGGGCCAGCCCAGGCTGCCGCAGCAGAAAACAATTTGTCAGCCCGGCTGTCAGCGAGCGACAATGGTGGCCTTCTGTGGGATCGTCTGGCCCGGCTCTGCAGTGCGGAAGCCCCGAACCCAAACGAGGTAATGCACATCCTCTCCCCCACTGCTGTCAAAGGGCCCCACCTGGGCTTTTAAGTAAATCAGATGAGAGGGTTGGCCTGGCCCGTGGTCAAGCAGCAGAAAATGTTAAGTGCAGTCTGTCTGTGTCTCCCTGCTGCCTGATTCATTGTCCTGCTCTCCTGGGAGGCATTTTGCTCGAGTGGCAGAGGTTCTGCTCAGCAGATGCTTCCCTGGGCACTGCTGGGGCAGGTGAAGGGCTGAGAGATGGGTTGCAGGGCTCTCATTCCTGGTTCCCATCCTCCAGGCTCCTGGTGGGCGGGTGTGCAGATCAACTGAGACTGCATGGCGTGGGCCAGGGGCAGCAGGGAGGGAGAACACAGGATCAGGGGGCACAAAGCTGCGGCTAACCAGCGAAGGGTCAGTGAGGACTTCCTGAAGGAGGTGTCAACTGGGGTGGGTCCTGGAGATGAGCAGGGGTCAGCCAAGGAGGAAGGACTTGCAGACCGGGGCAGCCACATGTGCCAAGGCCTGGGGTGGGGTCAGGGGTAGGAAACGGGTGGACATACTTGTCTTTCTGTAATCCTGGGATGGAAGGTGCCAGAAAGCAGGTGCTACCTTTTTGCAATCCCACTGTGACTTTCTTCTTTACTTATGCACGTTAGTATGAGTAAGACATTTTCACTCTTCAAAATTTGGAAGGCGCAGAAGTGTGCCCAGTGCAAATTTCTTCCTTGTCCCCAGTTCCCTTCTGCAGAGGCAAACAGGTCCCAGTATTTTAGGAATCCTTCCAGAGACGCTGATACACCGTCAGCAGTAGAACTCAGACAGACATGGAGGTGCCATTTCATAGGTCTTGGTGATCGTTCTGCATCCCGACATACATCTTTCCTTCATCTTTTAAATGGTTGCGTTGTTTCCCATCATGTGGTTCCTACCAATCCTCTTGACGGACATTTGCGTTGTTTCTGATCTTTGGCCGTTAACACCGGTACCATCGCGAAAATGCATGTACGTGCACCTGTTCGCACATGTGTGAGCCTATCTGAGGGTAAATTCCGGAAGGAAGAATCACTGCCTCGAAGCAGAGAAGCCGTGGTCGCTTTGAGAGTCCTGGCCAGCCCCGCTCCTGGCCTCACCCGGGGGTCCCACTGGCAATGCTGGGGAGAGGGGGTCCTGGTTGCCCACAGCCCTGCGCTCACTCTAAGATGTGTTCTTTCAACTCAGCGTCTACCTCTGAGTCCCCACGACGTGCCAGGCATGGTCGGAGGTGGTGAACGAGACAGAGGGGGACCCTGGCCTCACTGGGGAACTCCGGAGTGGGGGGAGGGAGTTCGTAAGCAGGTGTTTGCTTCCTGACCCCAACGAGGGACGGCCCAGGTTTCCATCTCGTAGCCTGGGTGGGATCTGGCCACCAAGGACAGCTGGTGACAGGGCCCTGGGGAGTCGGTGGCTGAGGGCGAGCGGAGAGGCTGGCATTTGGGCAGAGCCTCGAAGGGTGATATGGTCCCCAGGGCAGAGGTGGCCGCCCAGGTGGGGCCAGCAGGAAGGGACGTAGGGCTTCCGAGCTGTGCTCTGTGCTGGGCACCGCACTGAGTGCTGACACCCCCACTCCCAGGGTAGAAGCCCCTGGCTGGGGCCTAGGAAGCCAGAGGTGGGAGGTGCCGGGCACACCTGCATTTGCTGCCCCACTCCACTTCTCCCAGCGTGGAAGGCTTGGTTTCCTCCTGGAAAAGGGAAGTAGCTTCACCTAACATTGTCCCAGCTCCCTGGAGCCTCGCCAGGGGTGTGGTGTCTGTGACAGGTACCCCTCCGGCGTGTCCCTCTTTCCCTCCTTCTAATGCCGGCAGGCAGGAGGCCCAGGAGCCCGGCGCACACCCTGCCTCCGCTCACTTCTCTGTGCCTCAGTTTTCTGACCTGGCAAATGGGGATGCCTGCCTCCCAGGGAGGGTCCGAGGGGCGAGTGGGGTCATTTACCGGGAGCGCTGAAAACAGGCCTTGGAACACGGGGGTGGTCGGGGGGGTGCTGTGGAAATGCCACCGCTGTTCTATCTCTGTGCGCGGGATCTTTGACAACCAGAATGAAAACAGAGTCCCTTCGGGCGGGGCGATAGCGAGACAGAGCAGGAGAGAGGGCAGCCGGGGCTGGGTCCGAAAGCTGATGGAGGGGGCAGATGGCAAGAGAGACTGGAATAGAGTCATGGTGCCTCTCAGTCCCTGTGGTGGTGACGCTGCCCAGCTTCCCCAGGAGCCGCAGAAAATCCACTCGAGAAGTTAGTCCCAAAAGCAGTAGCCCGTCCCTGCAGGCTGAGGCCTCGCATGGGCCCTTGCCACCCCAGCTCAGAGCTGTGCACCCCCTCAGGGTCCCTGGTCCTTTCTCTTGCTCTACCTCCTCCCCAAACAGCCCTGAACAGCCCCGAACAGCCTTCGTCGGGAGTGCAGAGACCCTTGCCGGGGCCCTTCCGGATGTTGCAGGGGCAGGGGGAGGGGGCTGACTTCCCTTTCCTAAAAGTCCCGGTTTATCTATTGGGAAGAATGCTCATTTGTGCTGTTCCAGGGTATCCTTTTTTTTTTTTTTTTCCTTTTGACCCTTTTAAAACTAACCAATCTAACATGGGCAGCAGACACTAAACAGCTAAGAGAGAGGGAGCTCTGCAGCTCGTCTACCTGGGCCAGAATCCCAGCTCTGCTCCCCAGCAGCTAGAACAGGACCCACCTCACAAAGTGTGTTCTGGAAGGATTAAGTAGAGGCTAAGAGCCTGATTCTTAGCGCTTCGTGGTATTGATGTTATTTTAAAGTGCAACTTGCCACCACTCTTCAAGTAGAAAGCCGGCATCAAAAACAAAGGAAGCACTTCAAAAACAAAGACTTTACTGTGTAGGGCATAAAATGATTTCCCACACTGCGCCTTCCTCCTCTGAGCCCAGGTCTGGGGGAGGCAGCGCAGCCCCAGGCGCTGGCCTGCAGCCCCTCAGGGATCTGACCCACAACCCCTCCAGCTTGCTCCCCTCCCTGCTGCAGCCCCAAGGTCTCTGAGCCGCCTGTGGGTCCTGCCTCCCAGCGTTTGCCCTCTGGTCTGCTGTGCCTGCCAGCCATCCTTGGGAGCAGTGACACGGTGGATCAGGGTTGACTCCAGCAGCCTGCCCTTTGCTCTCTCTATGGCCTCAGGCAAGTTTAGCTCCTCGGGGCCTCCGTGTTCTTATCTGTAAAATGGGGACACTTAAAGGAGGCAATTCATCGAGGCATAAAGCACAGAGCCCCCTCGCTGGGTAAACTATGATTATTTCTGTTGTTAAATTCTTCACTGGCGAAAGTCAGGGGACAGCATCCACCTTCCTGTTGCTGGAGTCAGGCAGGACACAGAGCTGCACCGGTGGCTCCAGGCCGGGGCTGTGTCTCCGAACTTCTTCACTGTCCAGCCTGCAAGGGAAGGTCTTTATGCCCATTTTGTGGCTGAGAAAACGGAGGCTCCCACAGACCCAAACTGCTAGACTCGGGATTTGAGTCCCAGTCTGTAGGGCTTAATCAGTTTTCTTTGCCCCTGGCACGCGGGTCCTCATGTCTATTCCCTTGTGATCCACGCACCCCACCCCGTGCATGCCTCATGTGTTCCTATCTGCTTCCAGGAAGGAGCTCACGAGACCTAAAATAAAAGACACAGATACAATAGAAAGAATCTGTATTACAGAAGAGTGAAAACTTAGGGCCAAATAATAGTTGAAGAGGGAGTCGGAGAGAATGACCACACTGGGCACCCCGAGGCCACGGGCCCCTGTGACAACTGAATGGAAAAGTGAGTTCTGAGCTTCCTGGTAGTCAAGGCAAAAAGCGGAACAGCGTGGGTGTCTTGGTGCTGACTCTCCAATAAAAGGAAACAGGTCTGAAGAACGTTTCTTCCAGCTCTGAGCTCTGAGGGAAGTCATCCTGAGGGTCTGTATACCGTCAACAGGACAAATGTGGACTCGTGTCCCTGGTAACATGCCTCCGCATCCTCGGGAGATGGAAGGCACATCTGTTGGAAGCTGCGATCCACCTCTCCCTTTGCCAGGGGCCCACGCCAG